TTTTTCTTTAAATATTTCCTTGAATTTTTCTAATCTTACACTTGACAAAAACAGTTAAAAATGTTCTAAGAAGTTGTTGAAAAATATCCCTTAAAAGTTATACAAAAATAACGTAAGGAATTCGCTTAAAAGTATGCTATAAGAAAAGCTCTCATGTCCTTCAGCATTAACCAATAATTAATAATTTGTTGATTATGGATGAAAGCTTACTGTTGGCAGTTAAGTTTTAAGAAAAAGGATAATATATTCCTTTTGGTTGATTCTTAGTTTAAATTTGTTATAAAATAGTTTACTATTTTAAGTTTAAACCCCCTTAAGGCCGCTCTCAACTTAAACAAACTTCCCAAAATATTACCCAGAACATAATCTTGCAACCTTGAAAACCTTCGTTCTTCCTTCCCAAGAACTTAATATAATATGGTTACGTTGAACCAATGCCATGTATATATAACATAAAAGCTGACCTTAAGTCAATGAACGTTTCATTTGATAGGAAAATCCATTTCGTGGAATATTTTCAGTCTGTTTGAGGCACTTTCCTTGGCACTCCTCTCTCTCTCTTTCTCTCTCTCTATACATTTATCTGCCATTTTATACGCATTTCAACATTTATGTGCAATTTTTATGCGCCACCTGGCAAGCGCTTTAAGCATGCCACCACCCCCTCTATATACTCCTCCTCATATACTCGCATGCACACAAATAATTGCAACATATTAATAATGTCTGCGACCACGCCCTCCTCCTCGCCCCCTCTTCATAGCCTGCTCTTTTATGGCTTTCAATTTGATGCGAGGCAGTTAATAGCCCAAACACAAAGCCAAAGGAAGTTGACTAAGAAGGAGGAGGAGAGTGCGAGAGGAGGGAGTAGAAGTGAGGTTTAGCTCAGGAAATTGCATGAAATTTAACAAATTTTTCTTGACTCCCCGGGAGGAAGACAAAAATATATCCCTGTTTAACCCCACCCCCGTCCTCCTACTCCTACTCCTTATCCGCATTCTTATCCTTATCTCACCCGCCGTTGGCAACTTTAATATGAGCTTATTGGCTTTTGGTAGCTGCCACCCACCAGCAAAAAAAAAAAAAGGAGGAAGAAAAAAAAAAAACAGGAGACAACTCTTGGCTACAAATTTTGACGAGCTCAGCAATCTGAACACGCATGTGGCAGATGCTCCAAAAGGCGGCAGCGGCAGCGGCAGCGGCGGTATGGTGGCGCTTCAATGGATGGAAGGTTTTGCCACCGGAACTGAAAACACGTAGCTGCTGGGCCGTCGTCTCCCGTCACGTTATACGTAACGTAATGAGATTTTGCGGCAGCTTTGTGCATTGCGGCAAACTCACCATGTTCCACTTTTGGGGCCGTTGTTCCAGTCCCTGTCCATGTCCATGTCGATGTCCGTGTCCATGTCCATGTCCATGTCCGTGTCCAGCAACCTTGCTTCCGTTCTACCTTTTGCTGAACGTCAAAGGTGTTCAAAGGTCCTGTCAATATTCCACGATTACGGACCCATCTTACGTGAGCAACAACAACTGCAAGCACTGCGTTTGCATGACAATCGATCGGGTCAATAGGAGTGCCAAACGTGCTCAAGGGCTTGCTAAATGGGGACTACGAATGATAGTTTTGAGGAATTTTTAAGAAAGTGAAACTTTCGTAAGAAAATCTCTTCAGGCTGCTGAAAAGTATGCTCTAAAAACGTAGTAAAAAGAAGCCTTCCTTTCTTTATAGCTTCTTTTCCTTACTATTTACTCTTTAAAGCTAACTTTGTTTTAAATTTCATTATTTTTTTGCATAAATCTATCAAGTTAAACTCTCGAACTATATCATATTTTAATTTGATTATTTTATATTTACCTTAACCCAAATTAAAATCAAACAAAAGCACAGCTTAAAATAATAAAACAACATCCATCTACCAGATCAAATCGCTTAGCTAAATGTTTAGATTAAAGCAACTAATTTGGCCATTTGCTATGAATGTTATTTTTCATCATCACGCGTACATCCGCATGACATGACAATTACCGAAACGAACGAAAAGGTCGACCTACGTAAGAGTCCTTAAGCAATGGGAAAGTTCCATTTTCATTTGGCCGCCATCATAAATGCCTGGAAATTTACTTAACGCTAATGCGCTCAGTGCCCCAAAGTTAAAGCCTAATTACGTTAAAGCCAAAAAGACGTCAACTAAGAAGCTCAGTGGCAGCAGACGACGACGACGACGACGACAGAATCTTCTGACCATCTTCAGACCAGACACCTTGTCCAACTACGCAGACCACAGACAGACGTTCACACCAGGCCACAGGGAAGTGGACGTGGCAGTGGCAATGGTAATGGCAATGGTAGTGGGACTAGGGGATTGTTGGTTGCCAAGCTCTGGCAGTCCATAAATATCTATCTGTCGGCAAATCTTAGCCCAACTACAACTTGGCCAGCAGAACGCATCTGTTTATGCTTTGGCTTTGGTCACGATACCCTGAATATTGAGGTATAGCTGGTCTAAGGAAGTGGTTTGTAGCTAATTGATTTGGTAGGATCTTTTGGTGAGTTGAGCGCCAGAAAGTGTGCTAGGAAAAGATTTGATTTGCTTTTTGCTGCCTTTTAGCAGAAAGAGCTTACTTTTAGAGACCTTTAGAGGTGATTTTTATCCTCCACAGTTTGGGTTTTCATATAAATTTAACACATTTCGAAGCTTTAAAATGTTTTTTTTTTCGATTTCCTTGAAAGTTTTTGAGATTTTAAATGTTTATTTTAAGTAAAAAAACAAAAAATCCAATAAAATCCCAAACAGCATTCTGATAAACACCCTTTGAAGTGGTTTTAAACTACTTCCATCTCCCCACCTATCAATTACTTGATAGAAACCAAACTTTAAGTAACCAAATTATATATATCTTATAAGGATATAACATCCTCAAGGGTATTCTTGGTATTGTTTCTTGGTTTTTGGATTCGTTAGCCTTCGTTTTCAGTTCGGTTGTTGTTTCGCCTGTTGTTGTTTGGCATTGTTTGTGCATTAGTTGGTGTTGGTGTTGGTGTTGCTGTGGTGTTGCTTGCTGCTGTCGCCTTGGCATTGTTCTTGGATTGGCATTGTCATTGTCATCTGGGCAGCGTCCTTGTTGGTCGTGCACGTTAATTGTTTCACGTTCGGATTGGCCTCAACTCGGTTTGGATTGGATTGGATTGGATTGCCAGTGTTGTATGGAGTATGGAGTACAGACGACGACGACGACGACGACTAGGAATCTCTATTAGTTTTAATTAAACAGCTGAGCGTCTTAGCCAACTAATTATAGTGAATGCCAGGGACAGAGGGAGCGAAAGGGATGCCCAGTCCGGTTTTAATCATCGTAATTAATCTACGCTTGTTAATAACAATTAAATGCATTTTTTTTTTCTTCCCAATCTTGAAGTTGCTTCTTCTTAATATAATATATATATTTTTTTATTCTAGCATCTTGGGGACTTGAGAGCCTTGGCTTTGGCTTTGTCTCGAGCCGAGCATCGCCTGGCAACACAATTAAGCATTTAATCAATACAATTAAAGCCTTGGGCTCAAGCGAACATCATTAAAAGAAAGGAGCTGAGCGGAGCAACAAAGGCAAACGGTCATATAAAAATAAACATAAAACAAAGCAACAATTCAAGTAAACCCAAAAAAAAAAAAAAAAACATAGAAAAACACAAAAAGCAACAGCCAACCCAAAAAGAATGACGGCAAATAAAAGATCTGCAAAAAGTCCACAGCAACCGAAAGAGGATAAGGATACGACCTCAAGACACCCTAGTTTGGTGGCTAATTAAGGGATATATATAGAAGAAAGTTATATATCAAATATTCTTAACAAATCTGGAAAGGATTTCTATTGGCAAACTGTAAGAAAAAGGACTTCCAATGTCTTTCAAACTTTTCCTTCTGTTAAAAACAGAATTTACTAAATTTTAAAGCATACTTCTAGGCCGCTTTGCAAAAAACTGCACACGCCATTTCTATAATCTTTTCTGGGAATCGAAAACTGTAAGTTTGTTATCAATCGAAATAGCATGAAATTCTGACATTTCTGCAATCGATGCGTGGGCAAACGAATGCATCGTTGTTTTGGATTATAGTGCCAAGCGACCCCGAGACAGGCGCGACATTGGAAGGCGGCGACGGTGAAGGAGATGGAGATGGAGATGGCTGGGGCTGGAGCTGGGGCAATGTGAAAGCTGGATTAAAACTTTTTCTAGGAACCAAATTTAAGCCGCACACAAGGATGGATGCCCGAGCGATGCGGGAAGGATGCGGGTATGCCGTACCGCGCCCGCCTTTCCCCTCCTCAGAGCTCCACTAGCAGTGCTCCGCCTTTATCCTTTGCCAACTAAATCCCCGAGTGCGCGATGCCTTTTATGAGTTGGATGGAAAAGCAGTAGAGGACAGACAGGCAGGCAGAAAAAACAGTGCAAGTTTTTACGCAAATAAACGCACGTATTTCACAACTTTGCGCCACTTTCGTTTTCATTTCGGCATTTTGTCGTTTTTTTTCTCTCCCTTTTTTTTTGTTTGGCATTTGTCGCCAACAGTTTGTCCGTCGGAGTTCTCCTACTTCTTCTTTTTTATTTACCTTTTCTTTTTTATGCCCATACCCATGGCCTCGGAAAATGCCGAAAAATTCGCTGCTAATGGAAAATAGTAATTACAATAATTTGCCCGCTCGTTTGGCTTTTCTTTTGTCCCGCGGTCGGTCGGTCGGTCGGTGGGCCTTTTATTTTTTCCTTCGTTTATTCTTTCATTTTATTTTTTTGCATTATTCATTTGATAGCTGCAGGTGGCAACGGCGAACGGTAAAAATAATAACCAGCATTAAGCCGTCAAGTGGGTGGACACATCACCAGCAGCAGCATCCCCCCTTCATTTCCACTGACCTTCCCGCTAGTATATATGTATATATATATATCTGTTGCTCGTGTGGGCGTGTGGAAATTAATAATAAATCAAAATTAAATGTTTGCTTACTTGACACTTTGGCTTCCTCCTCCGGGGCGGGCTCGTTTTCGTTTTCGTTTTCTTTTTTTCTTTTTCGTGGGACGTGTCCGCTCTTATTTTTATTACTTTCTGCTGAGTTTTACGTTTTTATTTATTTATTTTTGCTCCGCTTTGCTTTTGCTTTTGCTTTGCTTTCTCGCTGCCACCGGAAAAAAAAGGAAAAAAAAAATGTTTCATTTCAATTGCAATTAATTTCACTGAATCGAAATGCTTGAGGAAAAATCAGTTTGAGCTTGGAATTCATCCTTGGGAAAATTTCAACTTTGTTTTTCTTTTTTTTGATATTTTTATAAAAAAGTTCAAGACACAGCTAAACTCCCCCATTAAATGTATAATTTTTATAGTTTATTTAAGTTGAATTTTTCAAGTGAAATATTTTAATTGGTCCTCGGCGGGGAGGACAAACAACGTGCCGGAGTTAATCCTGTCTATAGTCTGACAGCGCTTTTATCCAGTTTCCGCAAATACGGCCAATAATTCAATAAAAATCAAAAGGGCTGACCGAGTTAAAATAAATAAAACTCCCCCCCTCTCGTTTGAAAAATATATATATATATTAATCCTGTGGCAATTATTTGCATTGGTTGGCAAACAAACAATGCCAACGAACGGCTGGCTGGCTGCTCTCTCTCTCTCTCTGTGGGAGTATCGGAGGCGGGCATTAAGATGCCCCAACTCGATTATTGCCCCATTTTCCTAACAATGGCATCAATCAGGCTCCAGTCGCATGGGGCTTATATTCTTTTCAATTAACAATCGCCCACCCACATCGCCTTCACCATAAATATTGACAAATTTCTCTACCTTCCTCCCCCCCCCCTCAAAAATCGAATTTATGATTTTTCAAGCACTTTGTTGTTGTTGTTTTTTTATTCATCACCCCCCCCTTTCACTTCAAAACAAAACAGAAAGATGGCGGGGGAAAAAAAAAACCAACAAACACAAAACCCGGGGTAAACATGCAACATGACTTTTACACAAATTTTAATACGCTTCTTCGACACCAACTTTTTATGTTCACTTTTATGGAGTTTTTAACAAACCGTTTTTGTTTTTTTCAAACAACAAAAAACAAAAAACAAACAAATGTCTGAGCTCTCTGTCTTGTCTTTTGTGAATATATATCCATAGATATATATATTTCTGATATACACTTTCGATTTACCAAATAATGATGCGAAATTCACTTGATTTGAAAATCGAATTGTTAGGATTTGTTGATGTTAATAGCGAGGGATTAGCGCCAGGTGCTGCTTTGGCTTTTGGCTAGATGGTTTGCTGATGGCCGATGGTCGATGGTCGATGGTCGTTGGTAGTAGTTTGCTCCGCTCGTGCCGAGTTCAACTTGTTGTCGCGTTGCTGCCCAAAGAGCAGTGAATCGTGGCTCACTGAAGCTGAGGACTCAAAAGGACTCGACTCGATCCGAGGTTATGTGTGTGTGCGTCCAGCATTGACGACGATGAGCACGAGAATGAACGCGAATCTGCTAGCCGAACGGCGGCAGCAACAGTACCCGACCAAAGGACCCGACAGCCCGAATCCTTGCCCCAAACTTCGTCAGCGAATTGCTGGCTATGAAGAAGCGAGGGGAGAGTGTTTGGGTTTTGGGCCTTGGTTGGGGCCAGTGCAGCCTCATCATCGCTCTGTTTGTGTGCGTGTTAAGTGTACGTGTGTATCTGCCAGCAGCGGCAGACGCAGCAGCAGCAGAAGCAGAAGCAGCAACAGCGTCCGACGAGGGGCACTGAAGAAAAATAGATAGAAGAAATTTTTAAGAAATATTTTCAAATTAAAGCTTAATTTGAAAATCATAAAAATGGGTAAAAGAATGTGATTTTAACTTGTCTTTGAGAGTAATCAAGTTCTTCTCATGATAAATTTTTAAACAATTATAAAACCTTGTTTTTGAGCCTAAAAAATCATATTTTTTCAAACTTAAAGATTTTTTTAAAGAGTTTTATTTATAATCCTTTTGTTAGAAAGGATTTTTGGAAGTTCAGTTTGGGATTTTTTATATAAAAACTAATTAATGATATGAATTTTGTATGGAAGTTAACTTTTTGAAGAAGAGAAAGACTTAACCCTAGACAGGAAATATTATTTTTATATTAACTTATGCTGAGAAAAGCTAAACATAGTTTTTAGTTTTAGTACTTGAAAAAGAAAAAAAAAAACTATAAGTACATAAAATTTAACATAATTAATCATTAATTTTAAAGTGTTCTCAATTAAGTTAATGCAAAAACAAGGCCAGCTCTTTCTAAAATATTTTAAGTTATTAACAAACTAAAAAATCGTTTAACTATTATTAAAAAATATTTCATAAAATGAGAACAGGCAGAACTTAAAGGCTAAACGCATCTTTCAATATAAAAATATAATTTAAAAATATTTTAACAAAACTCTAAAAACTAAACAACATAAACTGAAATTTTTAAAAACATTTAATTTATTTTTTAGTCCTTTTTAAGCACAAAAATTAAACTGAATTTTAATCTAAAATCCTAAATTTTATACATTTTTTAATCTAATAATATTCTAAATAATTTCATTTTAGTCCAAAACATTTCTCTCAGTGCATTAGCAACAACAAGTGGAGTCTTTTTTTTTTATTTCGGCACTCGGCTCGTCCGCTGCATTCGTCTTCCCGCTCACACGCTCGCGCCCTCTTCTTCGCCAACTTCCTCGCACTAACAAACACACACACACACACTGACACACACACACACACGCACACTACTCAGACGGAGGCAGTTGGCGTGTATGTATGCGTCTCGTTGCGCCTCGTTATTGGTTTCGGTTTCATTTTCGTCTGCTTTTTCGTTTTCGTTTACGCTTTCGCTTGCGCCTTTTGTCTTGCTTTTGCTTTTTTACCGTTTTGTTTTTGCTATTGCTTTTGCCTCAACTGGCCTGGCGCGTATGCCTCTTTTTTCGGTTTACTAAGCTCCCACTGGGTGGCGCCACCAATTAAAATATTTTTCACAAATTAAGCAAACACAAAATAAATCCGACAAGCACAACAACAAAGATAAAAAAAAACACATAGCAAACATTCGAAACTTGTACAGCAGCACTTTAATAAAGTTGGGCATACACACCACACGCCCCACCAATACACACACACACACTCATAGTAATATGTAAGAATTGGTTGATGGTTTTTTTTTGGGGCGAAGGGGTTGAAATTTTCATTAAGCAGATTTTGGCCTTTTCCGCTGTGGGTCAACAAAGTTTTTACGGTTTTTTGTTTTTCCTTTTTTTTCCTTTTAGTTTTTTAATAAGCCAAAAAGTGGAGGTGGAAATAGAAGGTGAGCTGCCACATGAAAAAAAGTTCAGCCAGTGAATTAAATTACTCAAGGGGTTAAGAAAGTTGCTTTCGAAGATCGAGGGGTTTTTTTTTTGGGCTTAGGAATGCAATGATTCTCTAAAAATGTTTATGGAAAAAATAGTAAAAATATATTTTTAATATTTAATAAAGTTGGAAGACATTTTAAAGAAAATACTTAATTAAATATAATTTTTTAAATATTTTAAAACTTTAGTAATGGGTTAAGGAAGTTGCTTTCCAAGATCGGAGGGTTTCTTTTTGGGCTTAGGAATGCAATGATTCCCTATAAAAGTTTATGGAAAAAATAGTAAAAAATATTTTTTATTATTAAATTAAGTTAGAAGTCATTTTTTAGAGAATACTTTAAAAAAAATAATTTTTTAAATATTTTAAAACCTTATTAACAGCAGGCTAATAGATAGATAGATTTTTATCTCAAGTAGCGCCATCTATCTTTTCGTCTTGGCAACTACACTTTCCCTACTTTTACTCATCTTCAGCAGTCTTAAGTCTTAATCAACAAGTAATTCTTATAAGTTTAAATTATTAAAACCTTTGCCTAATATACCCAACCCCATAAACACCCCTTAGGGTATTCAAATAAGAACCGTTGCCTCTCTCTATGTTTTGCCAAAAAGCTCTCTCCTGATCTCTGAAAATAGAACAAATATATAGACTAGACGAGAAAAACTCACTCAGTAGGCAGCTGCTTTTAGAATGGATCTGTTGTTCCTCAGCCGGCGAATATTTTTGGGCGAAGATAGCCAAAACTCACTGATCCATGGAGGGATTATTGTGGACACCGAGGGTATCATCCGAAAGGGTAAGTCTCCAAGATCCCAAGTAGAAACTAACTAAGATTTCGGAATCCTTTTAGTATTACGTTCCCCGCAAGAGGTCAATACTTATCTGTACAATACAGAATCTGAATCGGTTTATGATTTCGGTGACCTGGTACTGATGCCGGGTCTTATCGATCCCAATGTCCATATCAATGAACCGGGACGAAAGGATTGGGAAGGATTTGTGACGGCCACCAAGGCGGCGGCAGCTGGTGGCTACACTGCCATCATTGACCGACCCACCAATGCCACGCCACCCACTGTCAGTGTGGCGGGTCTTAAGGCCAAGACATCAACGGCAAGGGGCAAGATCTATGTGGATGTGGGTTTCTGGGGTGGTCTTGTACCCGGAAATGGAGATCAACTGGCTCCCCTGCTAAATGCCGGCGTCATGGGTCTGCAGTGTACATTATACGGTTCAGCGTCACCTGTCTCCGAGGAATTTCCTGCCGTAAATGAAGCTCAACTTGAGGAGGCTCTTAGTCGCTTGGATAAGGATCAGGATGAAGGCGAAGCTGTGATAGCTGTGAGTAAAAGATTTAAGCTTTGTTTTGTTTTCCCACAAAAAGAAACCAAATTATTCCGTTTGCTGGCCCAAAGAAATTGCTTAATTAAGTGCGCTTGTCTTTTCCAATACCGACAGGTTCATGCTGAGCTGCCGCCATCCATCGAAATCCATCCCAACGAGGAGGCGCCCCGTGAATATGGCACTTTTCTGGCCACCCGACCACCTGACATGGAGATATCAGCAACGCAGATGCTCTGCCGTCTGGCATGTCGTCACCCGCGGCGTTGCATCCACATTCAGAATGCAAGCAGCGGTGATTGTCTGCCGTTGGTTGAGGAGTGCCGCCGGCAGGGCGGAAATCTCACGTTGGACACCTGTCCGCATTATTTGGCCCTGGCTGCCGAGGATGTGCCCGAGTGTGGAACGGAGTTTAAGACATGGCCACCGATACGTGAGCGTCGGAATCAGGAGAAACTATGGAAGGAGGCTCTTAAATTGGGCGGAGCTATACGAATGATTGGCAGCGATCACTCGCCGGCTACGCCAGGCGCACGCGCCCTAACATGCGGCAGGGGGCGTGGTAATTTCCTTAAGGCCTGGCCAGGCATTAATTCATTGCAGCTTAGCCTGCCCGTTGTCTGGACGGCAGCCAATCAGCGGGGTAAGCTTGGGGACCACCAATGCTTCTCTTAAATACTAATTGCAAATATTAAGTATACGTAGGAAATATTAAGTATACGTAGGAAATATTAAGTATACGTAGTAAATATTAAAAATACAAACAAATATTGGGTGTACGCAAAAATATTAAGTATACGCAAAAATATTAAGTATACGTAGCAAATATTAAGTATACGTAACAGATATTAGGTATACGCAGCAAGTACCAAATATACGGAGTAAATATTAAGAATACGTAGCAAATATTAAGTATACGCAAAAATATTAAGTATACGTAACAAATATTAAGTAAGCGTAACAAATATTAAGTATACGCAAAAATATTAAGTATACGCAAAAATATTAAGTATACGCAAAATTATTAAGTATACGCAGCAGATATCAAGTATACGCAGCGTATGCAGCAATTATACGGGTGAGATACATATTTATTTGCTATACATATGATTTTCCAGGGAAATCATAATAGCATTGAAAATGCAAATGACTAAGCCCTGCATTCTCGGAACCCCTGTTGGATCTCACATGATTGCAATTGCTATGAAGAAAAAAGTTGTCTAAAAATATTTTTCAATGAAATTGCTTTTAACTGGTATCTGTTGACCATTAGCAAATAGTTGGCTTAGTCTTTTGAAGTTTAATATAGAAATTTAAAGACCATTATTGTTTGATTAAGTTTTAATAGGTTTTTATTGAGAAATTTCCATTGGTTTAGTTTTGCTATTGTTATTGTGAAGTAAAGCCTGAAACTATTTCAGTTTTCACTAAACTAACACAATTTTGTAGATAATTTCCTTAGACAAACGAACTTCTAACATCTTTTTCCATTTTATTTCAGTTTTTTTTATTATTTATTTACATAAAAGTAAGAAGCAAAAATGGTGAACATAAAAAAATCCGATTTACATTTTATCCACAAAATTCCTGAAGACCATAAATCCGCTTTACATTTCAGCCACTAGAAAACCTTGAATCTAAGCCAAAGATTATTGACTCATCCCTTTGCATATGTTTGATTTTTTTTTTCTGCCCAGGATTCCCATTGACCATTGCCGACATCCATCGGCTGATGTGCCAGGAACCGGCAAGACTGTGTGGCCTGTCCGCCTCGAAGGGTCGCATTGCCGAGGGCTATGATGCTGACTTTTGTGTTTGGAGTCCCGAGGAGGAGTTCACTGTGGGTCCGGAGCTACTTTACACGGCAACGAAGGCAACGCCGTATACGGGTCAAAGGTTAAGGGGCGTGGTGCATGCGACGGTAGTGCGGGGACTGCATGTCTATCAGCAGTTCGAGGGCTTCGGCCAGCCCTTAGGCAAGGTGCTACTCCGACGGAGCGGCCGCAAGCTGGTCAAGTTCGTGAGCATGTGATGGGTGAGAATGGTTAATGGGAATGGGAATGATGGTAGTGAAGTTCTGGAATCTAGGGTAAACTTTGTTAATTAAAATCATTAAGAGATTGGGCTGTGCTCGTTTATATTCCGTAGTCACTTTTTGCCTTTGCCTTTAATACGCTTTCTTAAGGGTATGCTGGTTTTTAGTAGAGGTTTTCGGTAGGTTTTCTGTGGAAGAAAGTTTAAGCCATAAAAAGTTTATTTTTTTAGAATTTCAAAACTCGTTTTTTGAAGACTTTCTCTATCTTTAAATCATAGCTAAAAAGACTTAACCTTAGGCCTAACTTTTTAACCCTAATAAACCCCATAAAACCTCATAATTGTCAACCTTTTTGATTTGTGTAAAAGTGGCTTCCCTAGGCCTTTTCGCCTCCTAATACCCAATAAATAAATCTTCGTAATAATAACGAATTTTCTTGTTAATATGCCACAAACAGAGGCTTATCAGATTAGAAAGAAAAAGGTATCAGCTTGCTGTGACAACCTGTTGCATATACACGTACTTTTCCCTTGCTAAAAAGATAATTTTATGTGGCATTTTCTTTTCTTTTCTTTCCTTTTTTTTTCTTTTTTTTTTTGATAGTGTTTAGAGTAACGAGCAGGGCACTAGGGTCTTTGTTGAATTCAGTTCTGGAAGTTGGCTTCCCATTTCTGTTTTTCCCTTCCGTTGCTAACTTCCTTGGCGCTTCCTTCAGCTGATGCCGCTTGAAGGATCAGGAGGAGAAGGTGGCGAAAGCGAAGGCGGTGGAGGATTTGCTGGGCCAGGACGTGCAACAAGTTGTCGCGTGGCAACGCCGAGTAAACATGACACCCAGCGACCTCACGAAACCCACTCACCATCCAGCAATCGCATGTGTGTGCTTGCCCCCGCGCTTTTCCACCGCTTTTCCATCGCTTTTCCTTCTCTTTTTGCAGGCATGTGGATGACAGCTTAAGTTTGCTTGCCAGGCGTCAACTCAATTTTTGCACTACATCCGTGTATGTGTAAGGGAGTGTGTGTGTGTGGGTATGTATAGGTGGGCGTGTGAGTGGGCGTGTTTATCTAAGCGGTTGGGCGGAACAGCAGGCAGCAGGTTTATGCCGTGATTTAGTTGAAGAAGATTCTAACTTTATCTGGAAGGCAGTAAGCCATCGTTGGGAAGATGCACGCTAAGAAATTTGGTTTTCATCTTTGGGAGATTAAAATCATTCTAAAAGTTGTCAAAAAGTATGCTATGAAAATAGGATACTACCATTTGGGCATCGGAATATCGTAGGATTTCAAACGCTTAATAAGATCTTTTGATTTTCGGAAAGTAAAAACCATTTTATTTTCCATCTTTTTAAGATCTCAAAAATACTACCATAAACCTAGGTCTTGGGCGTTAAAAGTCCTATTTTAAAACCCTTAAGTACCAGATTTTCTTATTTATATTTTTTTTTCCACTGTGCTAAGCAAAACAAAGGTGAACGAAGGCGAGAGTGAGACAGATTGTGGCAGGCGGACAAAGACAGAGGGATCGCTGGCAGAGCTGTCAATCAACGCGGACATGGCGACCCACGCATAAACCGCTTTGTCTGCGTCCTTTTTCTCAGCTTTTCTCGGGGTAAGGGTAGGGGTAAGGGGAAGGGGAAGGGTAAGGAAAAGGCAGCGGAGGCTTGGCCCGCAAATACACCTTCAGCTTGTTGATGTGCTTGTGTCTGGTGACGTTTCGATTTTCCGCTTTTCTTTGTTTTCATTTTTGTTTTTTTTTTTTTTTTTTTTTGTTTCGTTGCCATTTATACTGGGGAGTTGCGTGCCACATGCCCCGCCGTTGTCGTCCGATTTGTTTGCCTTCTGCCTGTTGCTGTCTCCATCGTTGTCGACCGCCTGCGTCATTGATGCCCACGCTCGCCAGTGCCAACGCCAGCGCTCTTAACCCCACGGCGGTGCCGCTATTTTTAGCCCCACAGGAATGGAAACTTTCGCCAAAAACTAATTTGTGAATTATTCACAGTAAAAAAAAAAGAAGGAGGCAGATGTAAACACTTGCATGGCTGGTAAAATAATTACACAAAATATGTATATGCTGTGCATATTTGGTTGTCTAACTTTTTTATGCAAGCAGCCAAGGGAATGGAATCAATTAGATGATGTAACATAAACCGCAAATGGCGTAGCCCGCAATGTATTTACACAAAACGTATATTATTTAACAATTAAATAATTAGATTAGTTGTTAGAACTAGAAAACTAAATGCTAGTTACAAAGTAGTAATGAAACTATATTTGAACTTCATATGTAATTTCCCAATTAGAGGTTAAAGCAGCAAAAGCAAAAAAGGGGAACCTTAAAAATTTTTAAGTAACACAAGTTAAACCCTATTTTTTTATTAATATTTCTAAATTCTACCAGTTTTATAAATCCATTTACGGGTTAATATGGCTGTCTTATAAAACTTCAAAAGGTTGTTGTTTTTTTTTTGTTCATTTTTTTGTGATATGGTTAACGCGCCTCTCCGAGAAACTTCCATTGCCATTCCCATTAAATAAATGCCACAGGCAGATCACAGTTTCAAATCATATTAAACGCTGCGCGGTAACAGGTGAGACGTTGCTTTTGAGTGGATTTCGCCTGTCACTGGCAGGCAATGCGGCGTATACTTGATGTGGCCAGGCCCTACGTAACGCATACGCCATGTGAGCCACACGCGACATCGAAAACTTTCGCCCTCCCTGCTCGCATGCCAGTAGGTACATAAGTGGGGCCAGGCAGGTGTGTATACAAATAGAGGGGGTAGATATTGGGATAGAGAGTTAGCGATAAAGGTAAACATTACGCATTCGCAGCGTTGGCAAGGTGAAATGCTATCCCCGTTTGCCTGAAGTCATGGTCGAAAAAAAATATATGGGTTAGGAATTTGGATTGGAAGGGGGGAGGGGGATGGGGAGGGTAAAGTTGGAGGGTTGAAGGTAAAATCATTCGAAGGCGTGACTTGACCCCAACAACTAGGGATAAAATCTGGGATTCGGGATTCGGAAATAAGCAAAAGTTTTGCACGCGCTGTTGCACAGAGGTGATGGAAGTAACAGCACCGAAAAGGTTTCCCACTAATTATAATCGAAACTCGGGAAAATAAAAGTTTATCTATTTGATAAGCACTTCGAGAAATTATTATTTTCTATATTTAAAAAAGGTTTTTATTATCTTTTTGCTGATTTAATATTGTTATTAAACATGTTCTTCATGTTTATTTAGATACAAGTATTAGGTTAAATACCTAAAAGAACGAAAATTACCTCGTTAAAATTAAACCTACTTGTATCCTTTGTCTCGCTTCTCTTTACAATGAGTGATAGAGATGACAGATGTTGATAACAGATAGCAGCACTGACTCTGGAATCCGCATCTACTTTCACTTCTTCTTTTCCTCTGTGCTTTCTTTACCATTCCATGCCTTAGTTCTACTCTCTAAAATAAATCGTCATGGAAACTTGGCACCGAAAAGTATGCAGTACTCGCTGCGCCTGCGACCGACAGAGAAGGCAAGACCTATCACTGCGTGTGCGCAAGCGAGTCGGCAAGCAAGCTCTGCTACGCCATAACTGTGCGCTAAGGCGATAACGTCAGCAGCTATCTCGCTCTTGCTTTTTGCTATTTAAAAATATTTATGCATGCAATGCGTTTGTATGTGTGGTTGTATGTATATGTGAGTGCGAGGTAAAGGTGAGTAAGAACAACGACGTCGACTTTGACGTGGCGCTCTGCCACTCTCTTTGTTGTTGTTGTTGTTGTTGTTGTTCTTGCTTCTTATTGTTCTTGCTATACAAGAAGTTATTCCAACGGAGTAACGGCCAATTACGAAACAATAGTGTGGGTGAGCGATGGTGAAGAGGGGCCAGTGTAGCGTTGCGCGGGGGGGGTGGGGGTGTTCGGTAGGGAAGAGCGGTCGAGAGAGAGGAAGCTTCAAATCATATGCTCGCTCAGCTGTTGGCAGCTCTGCCGGCGTCGCCGTTGGTTAGTCAGTCATCATCAGTGCTTTTTAGAGCTACGTAGAGAACAGACGGCCTTCCCAAAACACACACAAACACATACACCCACACGCACAGAGGGGCGCAAGCATATAGACGGCAAAAAGCAAAAAAAAAAACAAAAAAAAGCAAGAACGAGAAAGGTGACGATTCAAAAGCAGGCGAATTTTGAGCGCCAAAAACAAAAGAACGCAACATCACAAAGAGCAAATCAGTGTTCTTTCATCATTTTTTTTTTTCAGTGCAAGTGTGTTTATAATTATAGCTCTACTTCATATATATATATATATATATATATATATATGTGCATGAGTGTGTGTGTGTGTAAGCGTGTAATCAAATACAAATCAGTAAAATAACAAAAATCTTGACGTAATCGCTGAAATGCAAAGCAAACGACACGAAAACGAGCAACAATAACAAATAGCGATTTGAATTCTTTTTGTGTCGGTTTTCGGTTTTCGGTTTTCAAATTTTGCAGCTTACGGCGAACAAAAAGAGACAGAGCGAAAACACAATCGCGTGTGTTGTGTAGTTTTTGTACTTAAGTACATATAACTTTTTTTTTTTGTGTGTTGTGTAGTGCCCGTGTTTGCCGTTATGCAAAGATTTCATTGTTATTAGTCAGCAAACGTCAACAGGCAGCAACACCAAAGGCAACAACCAAAACGGGTAAGCGATAAACACAAAACTACAGTCGAACTTAGCTATAACGAATTTTCATTTTCATTTTTTCATTTTCATTACACTTTTTTCCCAAATCATTCATCTAAACAAGTTGAACTTTCTAAACTCGAATTTGTCAGCAGTTTTATTTTCTGCGAATCAATTTTATTTCTGCTCTTCAATCTTCAAATAAACTTCCTCATATTATATCAATATTTTTGCACCCTTTTGTTTATTTAAATTGTCCCTTGTCTGTTTATGTTAGTTTGAGTAGAGGAAGTTCCACTGTGAGCTGAGGGAATGCGAAAGAGCGTGCCAGAGCTAAAGAAAGCGGGGTGGAAGTGTGAGTGTGCGTAAATGCAGCAACAGCAAACTTTTTCGACTGCCGATCCTCAATGGGTGGAAAGAGAGAGGGAGGGGGGAGCGAAAGCATGTGTGAAGTGGATGCGGATAACAGCGAAAAGTGGTGCTAAAGGGGGCAAGAGGAGAAAGAAAGGAAAGAGGGAGGCGCGGATTATGCTTATCAATGAATTATTAATGAAGAGTGCGGGAGCAAGGGAGCAGATAAAGAAACCTTCTACACAGAAAGAAATAAGTAACTCAAAGAAAATTCAAATAGAAATAATGTTTAAGATTAACATTAAATAATATTTAAGAAATTTTCATTATGATGAGTTTTTTATAATATTTTTTTGTAAAAATCTTTTTATTTGAGATTTTAAACTATTTTTGCCTGTGCAGCCTTATTGCCTTGACACTGCTATAAAAAAATTGTTTAGTTATCGACAGAATCGTAAATTACCGCTGACTAATATTGGGGGAAACACTCGTATGTGGGGAGAGTGAAAAATGCGGACCGCATCGTGTTGCCGCTGCTGAACGCTGTCCCTTTCCACGAATTCCCGCTAATCTTGCACATTTAAAGAGCTCAACTGGTTGGGGCCGTCGTGCATAATTATCCGGCAACTACGCCGACATGATAACACAAGCTCCAATTTCAGCTGATAGCATGCACTGTGAGAAAAAGGTTTTTGTAGGAAACCCTTAGTTGACTTTTTCTTTGAAAAATCTTTATTATTATCAGCAATAAAAGTAGGCCCATGTCTCTAGAGATTTAGAAACATAAAGTGCCTGGAATTTTGAAAGATTATTTTGCCTTTTCTATAACAAAAGAAAGAAAACGAATATTATTTTTGATATTCTTAAGAATTTGACACAATCAGTAGTAAAAATCATAGCTAAGATTTTAGGTAGAAAAGGCAACCATTGTGGTACTTCATTATTTTCAAGTACTAGTTAAGATTTAGTATTTAGTAAATAAGAACGTAGTGAATATTGTGACGGTGCAGGTTTTAGAGGGCGAGGTGTAGGAAGAGTGGTTCTTTATCAAAATTATAGGGTTCTATGATAATCCCGGCGTAAAGCTCTATATCACTCCCTCACTAACTCTATCTCTGTCGCACTAGAGAATGTCACCTGTCGCCAATGGCTCTATCTCGCTTGCTTTACCATTCGACGGCTTTCTTAGCCGTATTCTTCTTCTTGTTCATGGCTTGTCCATGACAAGTAATAACTGTTCTGGCTCTTCTTTTTTTTGTTATTGCACATTCATTTAGTTTTAATTAATTCAGCCAAGCAAACAGCGTTAGAAAGAAAGAGGTGCTGCGAGGGAGGGGGACGGCAGAGATTCACTAACACGCTCGCAGAAGGCAAACCAGCACAAACACACAAACACAAATACAAACACCAACGCAGTGGAAACGAGTAAAAATAAATAATGCTGACGTCAATTTTGCGTACGCCAATACACAGTGCAAAAAAAAAAAAAGAAGGAACGAACGAGGCGAAAGGGGTGCGGCTAGCGCAAATCAAAAGCCAAAAGCAAAATGCAAAATGCAAACTGATTGGAATTGATTGAAATGCAACAGCAACAACTTTGAGCTTTCTGCTAATGTCAAACAGCAACCAACGGCTATTGGAAATCAAATAACGCCGAAGCTTAAATACTTTAATACCAATGGAAAAGAAGTACAGTTTCGGTGTGAAAACTGACACTTACTTTTAACAAATTTTCTTAGTTTTTTTTTTTTTACAAATATTTATTATTTAAAATCATTTTGGTGAGTTTGAGTAAAAACCAACATGTCGTATAAGTAATATTTATGCTTGCATAGGAGGTTATATTTTTTGACTATTAATATAGATATTATAGTTCGAAATTTCCCATTTCTTAATAATAATAACTATAATAATAGTCCAAAAAATGTAATCCTCTCTGCAAGAAGCATAAAAAATACTTATACGACATGTTGGCTACTACTTTATTAATCTTTTCATTATAAACACAAAATTTATTTCTTTCTATGTAAACATGATATAGTAACCAAGTTCGCATTAACTGCCAAATAGCAAACCGCATATTTTAACCAATTTATGGTCATAGCTCTCTACAGCTATTGTGCTGACCGCAAGTGTATTACTATAAATGTAGGTAGTTATATAGTATAGGAGCGGTATTTACAGTTCCTTTTTGCGGGAACTGGGCAAACTTCATTAGCTAGTGATGTCAGCCGGTGTAAAGGTAATACGAACTATACGTACATACATATATATACATCGGCGTCCTCACATTTGGGCAGTGAGTCAGTCTATGAGGTCGTTCAGACAGTCCGGCGTTTTTTGGCTCCTCAACTGAAAGAAGAAGGGGCGTTGGGCGATGGGCGGTGCAGAGTTCGTGCGGCGTTGTAATTAATGGCAATTATTATGTCACTCAAAGGAAAGTCGATTGAAAAAGCAGCCTAAATAATGCAAATGGAATTGGAAATTATATTCCAGAAGAAGAAAAACACCAAAAACAACAACAACAACAAATTGAAGGAACAGTCAGTCATTACCTCTCACCATTGCACTAATTAACTATTAATTCAAAGCTGTTGCAAGCTTAAAATAATTTGAGGTCTGTTATTTAGAGGCCGTTTACGTTCCCGACTTTCAGTCAAGTGACGTCATAGCTAAGGCCAATAACTATTTAGGCTGTAAAGTAATTAGCCGAGAACATCATTAAGGCTAATTGTTTTTTGCACATTTGTGAATAAACTATTTTTGAGGGGCAGAATAATATCGAAACTTATTTTTTATATTATTAAGCAAGCTTATAATCCTTAAAAAATAATTTTCATTGCGACTTATAAGAGTTATTGTAGTATTTTACGTTTAAGTAAACTATTTTATTAGGAACGTATTACAAACTGTATTTATTTCTAGTCTTGTCTTATTTAAAACTAGAATTTCTTCTTAAACGTAAATTCTATAGCCAAGAACTTTAAGTTACGAACAAATTTTAAAGATTTTCAAATATTCCCGCTACTTTTAGCCAGGCCAAGCACCATTGTTATCAACCAAATTCACTACATTTGTGGTATTTTCCAGTCTATACGTAACTGGTAAATTGGCATCCTGCACATATGGTCACATTGTCAGCGGGTGAGCGAGCCAGCAATAAGCGAACGATTTTTGCGCAAAAACGGAGTTTATCAATAAATCTCTGCGTCCGATTGCACTGACCGTACAAATCGCGCTCGATCTCGTCCAGAAACCACAAATCCAGGACTGTTCCCGCCTAAAAATCGCGATTTAGTGCTGCGAAAAATAATAAAAAAAAGAACGTAAGCAACGATAACAACAGGCAGCGAGAGCAAGTGAGAGATTGGGAGAGAGAACAGTGCGGAGTGTTGTGTGTGTGCGTGCTGCCAACTTGTCGCACCAATTCGCTGCTGTGTGTAGTGTTTGTGTGTGTGTGTGTGGTTCTCCCCCCAAAAAAAAAAGAATTCGAAACGAAATCTTTTCGCGATGCTATAGCCATTCTAACTGAAGTTATAGGGTCTAAACATCGATTTGCTGGCTATAGAGCTATATATATATTTAACTGGCGAGAGCGACTTTTCAACAAGTTGCCAGCGCAGCGTGCAACGCGCGCACACACACACACGCGCGCGCAAAAGAGGGAGAGCGAACAACAACAACAACAAAAGCCTCTCAGAAGCAACGTTTTTAGTGATGTCATCAGAAAGTAAGTTGATTTTTTCGCTGTGTGTGTTTTCCTTTTTTTTTTTTTTTTTTTTTTTTTTTTTTGTTGCCTCTTTGCACACTCACACACACGCACGCACACAAACACACGTTGTCATGACGTCATTCCACCGAAATACTCACGACTTGGTGTTATTATTGTTGGTGTGGTTGGTGTTGTTGTTTTTGGGCAACTGAGTTCCATCAGTCAGCAATCGGCAGCACAATATAATCATCGTCATCACAACGCACACTCGTCATCGGCCCAAAACAAACGAACCATTCCAATCCCGCCCAGAAACAGAAACCGAATCCGCAACCGATAAACAGAAAACTGAATACTGAAATTACTAAATATTGAAAACTGACAACTAAAACCACATTCCAACTTGATAATCTCGCATTATAGAAACGTCTTCAAGCTGGCCAAATTGAAGCGGAAACGGTAGCCAAACTGAAGCACTTGTCGGAGAGCGTCTCGGTGCTGCTGAAGATCGCCAGGATCGCCAACATGGACAACAGCATCGTCGAGGAGAACGGCAACTCGTCGGCGGCATCGGGCTCCAATGACGTGGTCGATGTCGTTGCCCAACAGGCAGCGGCAGCAGGAGGTGGCGGTGGCGGCAGTAACTCCCAGCAGCAACAGAACCCACAAAGTACAACAGCCGGCGGTCCAACGGGGGCGACGAATAACGCCCAAGGAGGAGGAGCGGCCACAGTGCTGACCACCACCGCCAACTGCAACATACAATATCCCATTCAAGGACTGGCGCAGCATGGACTGCAGGTGAGTTTGGGTATCTCTTTAGGTATCCTTCAAGTGATTTAGGATAGGAGAACTTGTAATACAATCAGTGAATCAAGGTACTTCAGTAGGGCAACTCTGAATGTTATGAAATATGAATAGGACATTACAGGATAGGAAAGAGATCCAAGTGATTGAGCAGTTTATATAGGTAAATAGGATAGGCCAGCCATATAATATCACAACTACTTGAGAGTTTTAGAAGAAGAACTTTTTGAATTTTGTATATATAAAAACTTCATGGGGCTATAAATCATATTCCAATTGGAAAGAGTCGAACACAGAACTAATGTGAATATGAAATATGGAAGATTAGTTCTTTATACCCAAATACCCTGAATCTTTCACATCTAACATTTTGATAGGTACTAGAACAGAAAACTCAATTAAGAAACAGTTTTTAATTTCGGGGCCTAAACAGTTTTTGAAATCTTTAACAGAAGACACTTAATATCAATCATATTCTAAGAAATGTGTGATGGTATAAATAGATTCTACGTCAAAAGGCTTTTAAATATATATTTATGGTTTCATATTCAGAAACATGTCTAAATCAATTTTAAAGTTGTAGTTTTAAACGATGACTAGCTTTAGCTCATACATATATCAAAATAGTATTATAGGAATGTAGTTTTTCGCCACGAATAAATCTAGTTAGTCTAGTTGCAGCCCCTGTCCATAGCTAAAAATCGTTACTAATGCTTCAACCTTTTACTCCCACAGGTGCAATCCGTGATACAGGCCAATCCCTCGGGAGTCATACAGACAGCAGCTGGAACACAGCAACAGCAACAGGCGCTGGCCGCCGCCACAGCGATGCAGAAGGTGGTCTATGTGGCCAAGCCGCCAAACTCGACGGTAATCCACACGACACCCAGCAATGCAGTGCAAGTGCGTAACAAAGTGCGTAGCTCAGGGAGCACCCAGCTATTAGAACTTTATTAATATCCTCGATTACCATTAAATACAGATCCCTCCAACCTTTCCGTGTAAGATCAAACCCGAACCGACCACGCACCATCCGGAGGACAGTGACGAGAGTCTGTCGGACGACGATTCCCAGCACCACCGCAGCGAGCTGACGCGAAGGCCGTCGTACAATAAGATCTTCACCGAGATCAGTGGACCCGACATGAGCGGTAAATCCGGGGGAAGACTTCTTCACCAATCTCACCCTCCACTCAAACCCATCTATGTCGCCTCTTTAAAAACACTTTTATATCGCCTAACAATCCAACGCATCGCCGAGCTGATCGCCCTTTCATCGTCGCCCTCATTATAAGATGCACATGCGCCTGGCGATCGTTCGATCATTGCCCCATAGCTGGGTGGATCGGTCAGACCATTAGAATCCATTCATTGCCCCAGTGTTTGTAACCCCATATTCACTATCCACATTCATTTTGTACAGTTGCGGTTGGCTAAATAAGATTCATAGTAAAGTCATTAGATCAAAGGAGTAGCTTAACTTTATTCAGAAAACAAAGCGCTTTATAGTTCCCTATATGCTTGTATTTCTTGGATTTGTGTAAAATCTTTCACCTTACACCTTAAATTTCACAAATTATTGTAAGGATTAGCTAGAAATGATTTAAAAACTCATTTTTAGGGATACAATTTGTAGCCTAGGGACTTAGATTATATCGATGTTGCACAGTTATCATAGAAACCCTTTAACTACATAGCACTTTCTTCTCATGCAGACAAACATAAGAGCTTATAATAACATTCCATAATCTACAAAAATTTATAAATTGTAGTCTGAAAAGCATAATTTTTGATACATAAAACTAAAGTATAGAAAGAATCCTGATAATATTGAAAACCACTTTGTAAATATGTACATATATTTAGTGTTTTCGTTTGGATTGCAATTAAAGTTGTACACATGTATATACGTAACATACATATATTGATTGTGAAGGACTTCGCGCTATATCCTCCTATACACACACCATTTAAAGGACCATTAGAAGCAGCCGTACAAGAGTTAACCCCCTGCCTTCCACCTCCCCCCTTTTTCCCCCTTCATTATCATTTACTTGTTGTTGTTGTTGATGTTGTTTAATCGAAATGAAAATAATGAAAGAAAACCAAAAAAGGGCGGAAAAACTGGAGCAATATAAAAGGCGCGTTGTAGAGATTCCCATATTTTCCAATTCCTGTAAATAAACTTTTCACCTAACATACACACACATACACCATCGCACCGTTTCACCAACACAGACACACACATTCAGGGAGAGAGGACAGCAACAATAAACAATCGAATGAGTAATATTTACCGTAATTTAACTATTAAACCTACTATTGCTGCTGCCTTCTGTCCCAACTCCTACCCTATCTACCTCGACCCCTCTTTCTCTTGCTATCTTTCCCCCTCTATTTCGCTCTCTGTCGTTGTTGTTGCTGTAATCGCTGTTGTTGTTGTTGTTGCCGTTGTTGTTACACACACAACCCCATCATGCAAAATATTAAATAATAAATCAGAAGTACAACCAACCTCTCTCACCTAACAGTATATTTAACCGTTAATCAAAAGCTTATATCCACTTTTTTTTTTGTTGACTAACCAATATACTATCTATCTATCTCGCTCGCTCGCTCGCCGCTCTCGCTCGCACTCACCCACTCAAGTTCATAAATCAAAAAATCGAAGAAGAAAATTGATTCGAAAATTCAAAACTTCCGATTGAAAAAAAAATGGAAAATATGTTTTCTTATAATTTTTATTGTTGTTTTTTTTTCATTGTTTTCTTTTCGAACGCCTTCCTCCACCCAACCCAAAATATATTTAAAAAAAAAAAACAAACAAATCAAAATTAAATATGTCCTGAACAACAACTGCAACAACAACAACAATCAACAACCAAAAATACCCAAATTCGAACTCGAATCGGAATCGAAATCGAACTCGTAAACGTATACCCGAATCCCAGGCGCATCGCTACCCATGTCCGACGGCGTGCTCAATTCCCAGCTGGCGGGGAGCGGAGCAGGGGGCAATCCGGCGATGATGCCAATGGATCCCACGTACTACCTGTCCAATCGGATGCCCTACAACACCAGTAATAGCCCCGGTCCAATCAACTTCTTGAATTACATATAGGAGTTGGTGGAACTTTTCTGTAAATCGATTTTTTCTTAAGTTGGTTGTAGACGATGATCCAGTTGCTCATGCGGTTGAATGAACGTCTAATCTCAGGCTAAACTTAAGTATTAACGTAAATCTCAAGATCAAGAAAAACTTCATAAAGATCAAATAAAGCTCAGATCGATTTACAGGGAGTTCCACTTTAAAGAAATCTACAATCTAAAGACTACAATTTACTGATCAATCTATCTTTTTGCATATATTTTACAGACAATAGCGGGATAGCGGAGGATCAGACCCGTAAGCGAGAGATCCGGCTGCAAAAGAACAGGGAGGCGGCGCGGGAATGCCGGCGCAAGAAAAAGGAGTACATCAAGTGCCTGGAGAATCGAGTGGCGGTGCTAGAGAACCAAAACAAAGCCCTCATCGAGGAGCTCAAGTCGCTCAAGGAGCTCTACTGTCAGACCAAGAACGATTGAATGTGGGCGGGGCTATGGCGCCGCCTGCGCCTCTGCCTCCAGTTACGGTTACGGTTACGGCAATGGCTGCAACTGTGGCAGCGGCTGAGCTGCGATTCCGTTCTGGTTAATGCCCAAGCAGCATCGACAGGATCGATCCTCAACCCGTTTGGCCGGCCGCATATCATGATTTATATATACGTATAGGACGAGGATGCAGATCTATATATATATGTGTGTGTATGTGTGTGTGGTAGCGTGTACATTAAGAAATGTACAAATTGTATGATGAGGGATCGTGTTGTTGTTGTTAGGACACAGACGGACGGACAGGCGGGCATATAGATAGATATAACCTGCCTGCGCATGGACACGAGCAGAACACACAATGTAATTATGTTTATAATTTAAATATGTAATATTATGTTTATGATTTAGTTTATGCCTTAGTTTATTTGCTAATTTAACGATAATGAAGTTTACCTACGAACATGTGTTTCTGTAACCTAAGAACGTTTTTAATACGACACATACCTACCTACCTACCTACCTACCTACCCAACGGATTCTTCCCGCTTCCCCTCTAATTTTTTTGTAATTAAATTTTTTGTTTTACCTAATTTGTAACTCGTAATTAATGCAGAGCGTGCGTGTCTAGCGAAAGTGTTTTTTTTTCTTAGCAAATTGTTGTAAGCCAATATGTCAGGATATAGTCAACCAACCAACCAGCCACCAACCCCTCTCCCCTTATGGATATGCTGATAGGAATGTTAGGTATCAAAAGGATCAAAAGCGAAGGCCTAGGAATGGGTTTTCTGAGCCTCCCAATTAAAACAAAAACAAAAAAATTGTTCAAAAAAATCGCAAGTTTCATTTGATTTATGTGTGCATGTGTGTGCGTGTGTGCCGGCCAAGTGTGTGAGTGTTATAAAATTAGATTTTAATCTCGAGCATGGAACTAAATAATTCAAACACTTTGTTACATAATTCTAAACCCTAAATACCCTATCTCTTGTCCCCAAAAACATATGGTCTATATGTAACTCTATGGATATATACTGTATGCGTAGTTAGCTGTATTTTGTGGATCTTTTTTTTGTTTGAAAATCGGAAAACAAACAGATTTATAGGCGAATCATCGAAAAAAAGAAATAAAAGAAAAGTGGAGAAAGGATTTTGGCCGGAACACTCGTATGGATACATGCATATATATATATATTTGCGTTATATATATATATTTATATAAAGCAAAACACTCTCGTTATCTCTTGTGATCAACTCAGTTGTTGTTATGAATGGTAGAAAACGGACGAAGGGACGGACAAATATGGTAAATTAATGATGAATTCGGGAGACAGAACGAACTTTTTTATCTAGCGTAGCGCAACGGAAACTATGTCAAAATGAAAACCGGAAACGGAAATAAAACCATAAGAAAAGCATGTATATCTCTCTATTTTTGATGTTCGAATCAAAACTTCTGCAAAAGGGGAAATATAACAAAGGAATAAAATAAAAACAGTAACAGAAATCCAGATAAATTGAAATGCGGAATTCAAAGAGCAGCTTTTTTGGAAAAACGCTAAAAGAAGAAGAAAAAGAAATTTAACAAAAAAAAAAACAAAAAACAAAAGTTGCATTCAACAAAGTAAATAAATAAATATTTTTATTGTCATTGCATAATTCTTAAGCTAGTAATTTTAATATCTAAATCGTAAGCGCGGAAAAACAAAGTAAGAATGGAAACAAATGATGGAAAATGGAAAAGCTACAGCTCGAAGAAAAACGATTTATAAATCGAGAACAGAAACTAAAAAGGAAAAGAAAGAAAGGTAATAACAAACGGAATGCGAAAGCAAAGGCATAAGGAACGCAAAACAAAAATCTGTAGAAATTACAATATTGTTATAAATATTTGTCTCAATGAGAAAACAAACAAAAACAACCAACAAACAAAAGCAAAACAAACCAACAACAAAGAAAAATATACATTAAAAAATCAATAAAAAATATTTGAAAAAAAAGAAGGTGGCATTTTATATTAAGTTTATGAGTTATTTATTGTAAAACTCGTCCTGATATATCCTTTGATATACCTCTAATACATATTTTTTGAGATAGATTCCTTGGTAGAGTTCTGATATGTCCCTTGACGTTGGTAGATCTTATATATCCCTAATTCACTTGATATATTTCTGACTTATACCATCTATGGACATTATTCTTTGCTGTTACCCATATCAAAATGTTCTAAAAAATATCCGTTTCACAGAATAATTTAATATTAAGTACTCACACAGCACACACACAAACTACAAGATACAAAAATTACAAATGGATGCGGTTAATATTACAATTACTATAAATACGTGTAGATCAGTCATATCGTATGGTGATGGTAGGATCCTCTGGCGTCTACGAGATGAACAGGTAAAGGACGAAGGTAGCCACACCGATATAGTGGCTTAAATAGCCCTCCTGTTGCCAGTGCCAGAGGAATGATTCCGTTTCATCTCCACTTTCCAGAGATTCGCCCAGCAGCACTACTCCGAGATATGCCAGGTGGTAGATGGCCAGGGCAGTGAATGCCAGATTGGTGATCCTCACCAGCCAATAGGAAACAGAGCTCCATCTGCGTTTGCTGGGGCAGTTGCCATACCGACATCGCTCCTTGCCTGGACAAACATTTGCAGAGATGCAGGCATCCAGGAAGATTGCTAGCTGTCGCCGTAACAAAGATTCTCCTTCGGCGAAGATGGACAGTGAGATTAGCACCAAGTAGATACGGAGATCCATGCCGTGCAGCAGGCAGGACACAAAATAAGTACAAAAGACGGCCAACACGGTACGAGACCTGGAACTGTTCACCTTGAAGGGTGCGTAGATGTACCGCTTGAGCCACTCGTGCATGGGAATGTTCCAGCTTCTGACCAGAGCACTAATCGAGCGCGGCCATTCGATGAGCCAGGGTCGTGAGACCAGCGGGCCCAGCAGATCCGACTCGATGCCAGCACCGTCCAATCGCTGATCGGAGGCCACTAGCAGTGCCTGCGCCATGAAGCCAACGAAGTAGTGACTGGTGCGCACACTCAGTGCATCCCAGTACATTACCAAGAAGTGGGAGCTGTCGCTAAAGAAGTCACTCAACGCTGCTGCCACGCAATTGGACACAGTGACGGCCAGTACACAGAGCAAGGCATTGGGAACCAAACGGCGCAGACTGACAAGCCAGCTGTTCCTGGGCACCAGACAGTCCATGTAGGAGCCAAAGCTTACCCAGGGACCCAAGGCGCAGGTGGCTGGACTGTAGATATAGCCCAGGTAGGCAAAAGGACCCGGAATCCTCGCCTGTAGCTGACCACTTGTAGTCAGGTCGTATCCTAGTGAGATTAGTTTCATGTTGACCACCATCTGGATGCCCCGCAATTGAGGCCAGTCGCTGCGCCGTCGCCAAAGGAGTAGCTCGTACAGGAATTGACTGCCTATAGTTAGCACTGCCAATATGTGAGCTCCTCTACGTCCCAGTCGCAAAAGTTGGAGCAGAATGTATCCAACGGCGGCCAGCAGGAGCAGAAGGAGCAGTCGATAGCCCACAGAGAACTGCAGGAGGATCAGGCCGCAGGCGAAATGGAGCAAGTGTAGCGGTGTAAGGCTTGTCAACCGTTTGCGCTGCGAGTAAAGGAGGCACAAAAGACGACAGAGCAGACAAAGGAGAAGCATGGGCGCCACATATTGTAGGACCTGTACAAGTGAGGGCTCCACGCAAGTCTGCAGGCTTTCGAGGAGTCGTTCAGCTAAACCAAGGATTCCATGTCCGTCCACGTCACCTTCTAACTCGCCACCGAGATAGTAATCCTCCTCTTCGTCAGATTTCCCGAACCTGTAGTCCAAGTCAACGGCCGTCTCCTCATCATCGTCCTCCTCGTCCAGATCAATGTAGTCCGATTCCTCCTCAAAGTACTGGTAATCCATTGCCGGCCGCCCAATGCCAATCCAATGCGGGGGAATCGAATCAAGGAATAACCCGGCAATCGGCGGAGTCGTTCTGGAAGCCTATAAATCTTCTACTATGATGCATGATGTACCATAAAATATACCGAATATACCAAAGGAAAGGCTTTGAATTTTCGACAGTTTTTCGAATCTTAGCCCTTTATAGTATGTTTTACTTACATATATTAATTTTTATAATTAATTTAAAGAATGAAAAATTGATATTTTTAAAATTTCTTGTTTATCTTACAGAATTTTGGCGTAAATTATTATAATGACTATATGAAATTATTTCATTTTGCGCAACTATCAATATATAAGGTATTTTTTCGCGGGCATTACATGTCCACACCTTTAAAGGAAATACCGCGATACTAACACGGTCATACTCTAAATAGTAAACATATCTGGAAGTTTATTTACAGTTTTTGAAGTTAAATACAGTTAAATTCCGAGAAATGACTCGCCACGCCCGCAACTGTACGGCCGGAGCTGTTTACACCTACAACGAGAAGAAGCGGGACGCGGCGGAATCCGGCTATGGAACAAATGACCAGCGTCTGGGCAAGGATTCAGTTAAATCCTTCGACTGCTGCTCGTTGACGCTGCAGCCGTGCCGTATTCCCGTTATCACTAAGGATGGCTATCTGTTCGACAAGGAAGCCATTCTGCAGTACATTGTGACCAAGAAGAACGAATATAGTCGTCGGTTGAAGGAGTACGAGCGACTGAGGCGCGCCGAGGAGGATCAACTGAACCAGGAGGCCAACAGCAAGCAACAGGCACGCATGGAGCGCTTCGTGAATGCCGAGAAGCCAGCTATGACGCCCGCCCACTCCTCTGCCGCTGCCAGCGAGAAGGCATCAACTTCATCCGCCGCCTCAACTTCATCCTCCGCATCTTCAATTTCGAACATGACCAATGGACATGAGAAGAAGTTGCCCAGCTTCTGGCTGCCCTCCGAGTGCCCCAATGCTGGGCTGGCCAAGGCCCAGAAGCCAGATGCCACCATCTACTGCCCGGTGTCCCAGCAACCTTTAAGAGTCAAGGATCTGATTGATGTCAAGTTCACGCTGCTAAAGGATGGTGATACGAAGCGCTCGCTGATTGCCAAGGAGGCCCGTTACATGTGTCCCATTACCCACGACGTTCTCAGCAATGCAGTGCCCTGTGCCGTGCTGCGACCTACGTGAGTTTTCGCCAGGATTTTGCTTTAAGTATGACTTTAGTTTTTATCTTTTTTAATACAGTGGAGATGTGGTTACCATGGAGTGTGTGGAAAAGTTGATTCGGAAGGATATGTTACATCCGCTCACCGATCGTAAGTTGAAGGAAAAGGATATCATTCCCCTGCAAAGAGTAAGTATCTCTAAGATTTGATTTTCATTTCCCGGCATTACAAAGTTCTTATTATTTTTTAAAGGGCGGCACTGGCTATGCAACCACTAACGACAACCTGCAGGCCAAGGAAAAGCGACCCATGCTCCAGGTCTAAGATTTTTTAAGATTTCCATTAACTTCAGCTATTTAAACCCTCTCCAATAGAATTTTTTGAAAAAGAAGCATTTGAAACCCTAGGAAAGAAATAGATCGATGCCATGAATTTAAATTGCAATCGGATATACAAAGGATGAAGTCTGCTAGGTAATTGACCTGAGATCATGTTTTTGTTACACTTATAGAGTATTTTCTAAACCAAATTGCTTTTCAAATCATAACCATGTTCCCCTTACATACAGATTATGAAATAAAAAGAAAATATAGATTATATCATCATAGATTTTACATTTCAAAGATCAACATTTCACATCCTATTATCGAATCAGTAACATTTTGGCCAGATGATTGATAATTGAAACTGGTATTTAAATTCTGGCAAGACTTCTTTAAAGCTCCTTTAAATGAAAGCAATCATATCCTGGGGTTAAGATATAATATATTCTTTATGCATAAATGTAACGTGTAATGTAAATTGAAGAAGTTGCAGCTGGCGGAATGCGGGCGGTAGGCCGAATACGTAATCTAGATACGTCGCTCTTGGTGGTGGCTGGTCGTCCACGTCCAGTTCAACATCCACTAGGCCGCCTGCACTGACTGCTTCTGCGAGGAGCTAATCTTGTCGCCCAGACTCAAGGCCATGCCCTATTTTAGAAAAGATTTAAATCAGGATTAGCGGAATGAAAGATCAGGAATTTTTCACGATTCTCACCTGACTCTTGGCGCGAATGCGTATGTGTCCCGTAACCTTGGAATCTGGATCATCTACTGGCTTCTCGATGCTCAGATTGGCCAAAGCATTCTCTCCAAAAATGGACCTGCAAAATGGGATAACAGAAGATTAGAAAGGAACCTTTGGTTAACTGGTTAACTAGATACTCACTTGGCGTACATGTTGGCGGCCATGAAGCCGCATTGACCGGACAGCGCTTTCTCCGGCGTGAGACACTTCATGTTGGTGCTCTTCAGCAGGTGCTTGAGATATTCGTGCAGGTCGGTGAAGCTGGTGTTGACGGTGACCTTGTTCTCCCACTCGAAGTCCTGCCACATTTGGCGGAACTCGGTGTCCGTGCAGCTGGCCGGAATGATGTAGTCCATGATGTCGATGTGGATGGTATTGAGAACCACAACATTCGTATTCAGGGCGGTATCATAAACTGATGAATACGAAAAAAGTTGTATAGGAAATTTTAACAAAAATATTTACATTAAAGACTTACCAATATTGCCGAAGATGATGCCATTCTCTGTGGAGGAAACCTTGACGTTAGCCTTGATGTTGCAGAAATCATGCGGGGCCAAAACAACCGGATGCGGGCGTTCTACCAGCTTAAGATCGCCCAACGTGGCCAATTCCAATGTGCAGTTCTGCAGCGTGTCGTCTGTAAATGATTTCATTGATGTAAATACTATCTTCTGGGAAAGCAAAATGGATTACTCACTGGTCTGGTTGACGATCAGCACGTCCAACACAATATCGTATTGGTTGACATTGACGTAGGCCTCGGCATAGACGGGATCCGAGAAGCCAGTCAGCTGCGTAACCTTGTTGAGCTTGCTGTTGGGTGATGCCACGTCGCTCAGCTGGGCATTCTTGCTTCCAGCCAGCGCCTGGTTCAAACTGGATTCGAAAACGTTCTCGCCCATCTGGTTGTCGCGTCCATTCGATAGCTGTGCAAAGAGTACTGGATCATCTGGCTGTACCTTGGCCGTGGACTTCTGTTTCTCCTTCAACATGCGCTGGTCCTCGTCGTGCTGGGCATCCAACATCTTGCCCAGAGCTTCACGGCAGAATAGTGTAAAGACGGCCACCGCTTCTGGAGTGCGTTCGCTAAGCGTCCGCAGGCAGACAAAGATGCGATCGGTATCGTCGTTAGTTATGGGCTTGCTGGGGAAACCGGATTTGCCCAAATGCAGGATGGAGCTCATGATTAGCATCACTTGTGTGGTCAGACGATTCTGGGCACGAGCCTCCGGCTGCAGATCTCCATAACGTAGTGCCAACTTGGTCAACGTGGCGGATAGAGCGGCGCCAATGAAGAAGTCACCATTCATCAAGTACTGGCGCAGTGGCGGACGTTTCTCGGCCTTGGCCACCCTGTGGAAATGATAAATATTAATTGGTAAGCCATTTAAAGTAGATACTACATTAGAATAACTCATAGCTTCTCATATCTATATGTTATCAGCTACGTATAAGGATGACTCATCAAACCAAACAATGGCTAGTGGTCTTACTTTTGGGATAAACAAATAAATAAAACAAAACTACAGCTTCAGATCTGGAATCCGAAGAGTTGGAAATGCTCCACGTAATCATTACTTACGGGGCGAGACTGTAGGCGCTCTGGGTGGCATAGGTTCCATCGGAGGTGACCTTGTTGCTGGCATTTCCAGGTCCAGCGCCGCCCTCTGTGGCAGATCCAGCGGCACTGCCGCCAGTGGTTCCCTGCTGCTGCTTCTGCTCCTCGGTCTGATCACCGGCCAAACGCCGCTGCTCTGCTTCCACCATGGGAACTTCACCCAGCGTTTGCTGGATGACAGCAATCACTTCGAGAATTTGTGGTCCCTCGACGTACTCTCCCAGAATCCAGACGGCGGCGCGATGAATCTTTGAGGACTTAATTTGTGGGAAGGCCTCAATCAAATGCTCAATAATGAGGGCACGCAAGGCAGGGAACTTCTGGATGGCCTCACGAATGAAGACCAAAACATCGGCGGCGGCGAGTTCATTGGTATCCGAAAGGAATTCCACCAGTACGGGTATAACATTACCGGCCACGTCAGGAAATTTAATGGAACAGGTGTGCAAGGTTCGGACTAACAGTTGCCTGTACTTTCCAGTGTCCTCGTGCTCCACGTTGTGCGTCTTGGCCACTTCCTTCTTCAGGACCAGCACCATTTCACCAATATTACGCGAATAGACCAAATCCAAAGCCAAAGCGAGTGTTTTCCTCCTCACTTCGATGTCTGGAGCGGCTAGAACTCGGAGTATGTCCATAACCAGATCTTGCATCACCTTCTCCATGCCCTCGTGCTCCTTCATGGCCACCAGACGGTCGAGAACGATTAGCTTGACATTGTTGTCGCTTTCCTTGACCACCAATTCGATGTAGCAACTGGCCGCCGCCTTAATGGCGGTGGGTGCCAACGAGAGGGTAATCAAAGTGCCAGCAGATTCGTATCTCACGGCATTCGAGCTGGAGTTCAATAGGTTGTAGATACAACGGATAAACCGTGAACGCTCGGCGGGATTGGCATGGCACACCTTATAGATCAGCTCGACGATGACCAACTGCAAAATATCACCGAAGGTGTGCACTTGGTCGATGCAACTGGCCAGATAATTGAGTGCTCGCTCTTGGTCGGCATGGAGGAGCATCAAGAAGGCATTTCGCTTGCAGCTCATGTCTTGCTGGGTATCCAGAAAGCTGGCAATTAACTCAGGGCCATCCGGCACCAGCCAATCGAAGTTCTTGTAGATTGTAAAGATGGCAAGGACTGCATTACGCCGCACATACGAATGCCGGTGATCCAGGCAAGCGCGTATGGCTGGCATCAGGGGTTCGAGTAGCTCGGGTTCCTTGAGCTTGCACAGGAAACGCAAAGTGGAACCGCGGAGGAACTCATTGGGATGCTGCAAATCCTTTCGATAGGCATCACACACCAGGATCATCTCCTGTAGTAGTTTTCCATCAGCCGATGTCTTTGGGACAATTTCCCAGAAAATGAGTAGCAACTTCTTAATCGTATGATTCTGCACGGGCAGCACAAAACGTATGATGGTCATAATCAATCCCGGATACCGTTCGCCATTAAGCAGCAACTTGATCACCCGCTTCAGCGTCTCGATCTTCACATTTGTGTCGCCCTTCTCGAGATCCTGCTTTAGCTGCATCTCGTTGGGCACCTCGAGATCCGGTGAGTTGATTATCGTATAGCACGGCACTTGCGACGTCATCGTGGCAGCCTGTTTACTTTAGCCTTATTTTCCCAATTTCCCGATTTCCCAATTTACAATTTTTCTTTTTGGTCTCTCCGACGTGTCACTTGATTCGGGTGTGACCGTTACGGGCGGCGTGTGTAAATACCAAACAAATACCGCTTAACCTAGCCAGGGATGATGAAGTTGTTAGTCGAGATTAAAACCATATGAGAAAACGCCTTTTATAAAGAACAGGGATGTTAAATGACTTTAAGGGCGGGTTTTTTGAATTTTTTTGTTTTAAATTTTAAAATTTATTTATTAATATGCAAAGTTCAAATCAAGCAACTGCTTTTCATGCGCTTAAGTAGAGTCTTTTTTTTTATATGTCTTTATACAGAAATAACAATTTTTTTGATTAATAATTTTTTTTAACTTTCTAATTTTCTTAAATAATATATAAATTTTTAATACTTTGTAAGAACATTGTATAAATTTTTATATGCATTTTTTGCTACATCAAATAATATTATTATTTCCCAGGCATATTTTCCGTCGATAAATCGTGTGGAAAATAATGAAAAAATAACATTTTCTCGCTGCCTATTTTTCCCTGACAACAGTCAGTGTTTGGGTGTGGCACTATTACCTGGCTGCAGATAGCCTCCTAAGCCCGAGGAGGAGGAGGACTGCTGATAAGGGTCCACCTCGAGTACAAATGTTGCGGAAAAATCCCCAACCCATTGCGATCCGGGGAGATTCCCGTCCGTTGGCTAGGCTTTTGACCTTGCCCAGTGCCAAGCGCACGACGACGAGTCTGTGTGTTGCATACGAGAAGGTATAATAAACAATCTAATTCGGTTTCTGTTTCGATTCCACTAGAAAGATCCCCTCTAACCATGCCAACATCCATACCCACGCCACAATGTCCATTGTGATCTCGTTTTGCACTTCATCATTCAATTACCGCCCACCACATCATCATCATCATCAGCGTTTGTTACCCAACCACGCCCCCAAAAATAAGGCACGTCTTGCATTTTAAGCAGGTCGACAATTTTCACTAAGCTCTGGCTTTATGGGAATCTGGATAGTTCTATAGTTCCTCCATTTTACTGCACTTGGACGATGCGGGTGACTAGCTAGGTGATCCCATCACATCCAGCCTGTGGAACAGGTTCTCGGTGCCCAGCCTGAATAAACAAATCCCCCTGATAGCAAAGCGAAAATCAAATAAATAAAACTAGAGATGAAGGGGAGTTTAAATGCAATGCGAATTAGGGATACCCTTAACTTTTGGGTATTAAAATTAGATTTTTGGTTATTAAAATTGATAGAGACTGAAAATTATAAATGATAACCCTTTCGAAGAACATTCTTAACTAATCTCAAAGAAATTATTATATATTTAATTTGCTTTCATAAGCAAAAAATTAATCTTAACAAACTTGAAACATTTTTAAACAAAAACAAACCTTCCAAACACCTTCAATCAACCTGATAACACCCACTTGCAGGGTATAACAGAAAGGCAATTACTCTTAATTTGTTTACTTCCAAGAAAAAGTGAATTTAAAGCAGCCAAATCATTAGATGAATGCAAATCAAAACCGAATAAAATCTGAGAAAGTGAAAAATAGATTTTGCAAAAACAACAAACCAAAACAAACAATAGAAACAAAGTTGATCATAGAACTTAAAGGTATACCCCTGGTAAAAGGGTCCAAATTGCATGATTTATAGCCCTCGGAATAGGTAGGCTTAAGTGGAGGCATGAGCAACCCCCTGACTAGGAGCTGACTTAACCGGTTACAACAGAGATAATCAAATGATTGAATTAGTTTATTTGGTAGGCAGATCTTAGATGGCTAAGATATACAGACAGCTAAAGAAAATGCATGTGAATTCTGAGAAGCAAAAAGCTGATTTATATAAATACAAATACTGAATGCCAAGTCGTTGGCTTTAGGATCAGTCAAGTCTTCATTTATATATAGAGTCAGTGTATTATATAGTATATGCCGATCGATTAGGGGATCAAGTGCCAAGACAATTAATTGAAGAGCCAAGCCAGGCTGTGCTCTCAGCTTTCGAAAGCAATTGTTGTTCTTGTCAATTATATAATGCAAACTAATAGATCTTTTTATTTATTTAGAAACTTAAAGATATATAAACCAAAAAAAAAAATAAAACCCAGAAGACCCAGGAGAAAGTAGCTTGTATAGAGAACAAATTTGCCATGATTGATTGGCTTTTGACACGAACTGAAAACCGAGCTTCAAGCTATATTCTGATTTTGATCGATTATATATATGTATATAGAATTCTATAAAGATTACCAATACGATGATCTTAAGGTAGATCATGGACTGAATAATATATATTGTATGCTTTGCAAATATATTATAGGATTAATGATCTAGCCATATATATATATATCTGTCTCGTAAACTCGTTTGCCAGAGTATAGGCCTGGGGATGGCCGCCCACTCACGCCTTCCCTTTGGGGAGGGGAAAAACCGGTCGATTGCCTGGACAGTTTTTCTTTACTTTTTACTTATTATTATTATTAGTATGCCTCCTTGTCGCCGAACAAATAGAAGCAAAAGAGAAACAAACAAATGCAAAAAAAAAGAGCACGAAAGCCGGGGGTAAGAAGCAGAACATCTTGGGTTGGCCTATAAAAGCCACCGGCCGGCTTCGGATTCTCCACAGTCGAGCTTCAACTGTTTTTGAGATGATGTCGCCGAAAGAGACCCGCACCTGGCTGCCATTGGCGGTGGCCGCCCTCCTCTTGATCCTCGCTCCTCAGTCTTCCCAGGCAGATGAACCCATATGTAGGTGATCCATCTCCAGTCCATTGATCCATTAAATACATCTCTTCCATCCTCAGATCGCCTGTGTGTGCCGCAAATCTATTTGGCCGAGTGCCAGCAACTTTTGGCTGATCCCTCGGAGGCGGGCATTCGCATGGAGTGTGTAGCTGGACGAGATCGAGTGGACTGCCTGGAACTGATCGAACAGCGTAAGGCTGATGTGCTGGCCACGGAGCCGGAGGACATGTACATTGCCTACCATCGCAAGAACGAGGACTATCGCGTGGTTTCTGAGATCCGTACACAGCAGGATAAGGATGGTGAGTGATGGCAAACTAGAATATAAGATTTATATACTCATCTATCTCCCTTTTTATCGCCTTAGCCGCCTTCCGTTACGAGGGCATAATCCTGGTCAAGAAGGACTCCCCCATTCGCACTCTGCAGCAGTTGCGTGGCGCCAAGTCCTGCCACACTGGATTCGGTCGCAACGTTGGCTACAAAATCCCCATCACCAAGCTAAAGAACACGCACGTCCTGAAGGTATCCGCTGATCCACAGATCTCCGCCACCGAACGTGAGCTCAAATCGTTGTCCGAGTTCTTCACGCAATCGTGCCTTGTGGGCACCTACTCTACGCACCCGGATACGGATCGTCTGCTGAAGAAGAAGTACTCCAATCTGTGTGCCCTCTGCGAGAAGCCAGAACAGTGCAACTATCCGGACAAGTTCAGTGGCTATGATGGCGCCATTCGTTGCCTGGACAAGGGTCAGGGTGAGGTGGCCTTCTCGAAGGTGCAGTATATTAAGAAGTACTTTGGTCTGCCGGGTGCTGGACCAGATGCTCCGCCAGCTGAGGGCAATCCCGATAACTTCGAGTACTTGTGCGAGGATGGTAGCCGTCGTCCCGTTACCGGACCCGCCTGCTCCTGGGCCCAGCGGCCATGGAGTGGTTATATTTCCAACGAGCAGGCCGTCCATAACTCAGAGCAACTGCATCAGCTGCAGTCGCGTCTGGAACGATTCTTTGCCAACGGACTGCAGGCGAAGAACAAGGACGCTGCCTCCCATCTGCTGATCCAACCGAATGCCGTGTATCACAGCAAGGATGCGGCCATTGATCCCAAGGTATATTTGGAGCGTGCCGGCTATAAGGATGTGATTGAACGCGATGGCAGTGCCATTAGGAAGATCCGTTTGTGTGCCCAGAACGACGATGAGTACGCCAAATGCCAGGCTCTTCACCAAGCCGCCTATGCCCGTGATGCTCGTCCGGAACTGGAGTGCGTTCAGTCCACCGATTGTGTGGTTGCCCTGACCAAGAAGGAGGCCGATTTGACCATTGTCCATGGTTCGGGTTACGCCGATGCCCGTAGCAACCAGCTGCAGCCCGTTATCTACGAACAGAAGGCTGAGGATGATGTCCTGGTCGCTGTGGTGGCACCCAGCGTTACCCGGGAGGCTCTCCAAAAGGCCGGCATGTAAGTTATAGTCCTCCATAGTTCTATATCCAATTCTATATCCCAATATCCCTTAATCCTTAGTAAGTTTAATGAGAATTGTGGACGTTCTCGTAAGGCTGCCGCCCTGTTAAACAAGCGACGTGGCCTGGAAGGCTGCCATGTCACCTCCAGTGATGATGGTGAGATACAGATCGTGCCCGCCTCTGAGCTGGAGAAGCACAAGGATTCGCAGCTACTGTGCCCCAGTTTGGAACGACGACCGGTCACTGATTTCCGGGATTGCAACGTGGATGTCCAGCTGCCAAGGGCCATCTTCATCCGTTCGGACACCACCAGCGTTGAGCAGGAGACGGTGAAGCATCTGTTCTCATTGATCTCGGATAAGTTTGGTGCCCACGGCAAGTTGGTGGATGTTTTTGCTCTTTTTGGGGAGTTCCAGAAGGGCAAGAAGAATGTGTATTTCCATGTAAGAAGTGATGGCTTTTCATGTCTTTTTTTTTTTTTGTAGACTTAAAGAAAATCTTTTTTCCTCTACAGGACAATGCCGTTAAGCTTGTGACGGAGATTAAGAATGAAATCCAAGACGAGCAGATCTATGCTGATCTCCAGTGCGATAATAACAAGATAGCCAAGCAGTGAGCACAGAGGAAGCCAAGTTATACTAAGTATATCTTCTCCAATGTCTAAGCATTAATAAATCTTAACATGAATATTATGGGAAAGTGTCTTAATGTTTGTAAATTAGAAAGTTTGGATTCGATTGTGAAAGTTAAAAGAAACTAGGAAGGTTTTAGGTAATAGATAAGCTTAAGCAGACTCCTTTGGAGGGATATGATTGATAAATGTTACTATTGCTTAATCAAAACTGACATTTATAAGGATTATAATCATATCATATGGATCTTAATCCCAAAATATTGTCAAACAAACTTAAAGCTTAGACTACACCTTAACTACTTTCTTACAAAGCTACAAAAGTATCAGTATCATCACTCTTCCTAGTTTCTTTCACTATTTATATAGTATATATAGCTTCTCAATCCAAACTTTCTAGAACTAAGTTTAACTTCCAAACATCTCATAAATTATTATCAACAACCATTCTCTTTCAATTACAGCAATTTATGTTTTTAATTAAAAAAAAAAGACACATTATATGTATGGAACCAGCTAATGTATAATGTATAATGTATATATATATATATATCATATATGGTATATAGTTTCACATAACTGTGATCGGGTAAAATCGCCAGGAAAAATCGTACGTTTCACAATTGCTTCGACCACGATGTGGATTTTTGGGATGGGAGCCGGGCTGTGGGACATCCTTTTTGGGACATCATCGTGGAGATGTTTGAGAAGAAAATTCGTTGATTCAAACATTCCTGTTGGGTTGTTGGTGATTGAGTGGTTCCTAGTCTTCAGAGGCATCGCGCAGTGGCTGCTCAGTGGATGACTCAGCACCGCTGGGTGTCTCCTCCTCCTCGGAGTAGTCCTCGTCATGGGTGTGAGTCACCACGGTGGGCGTCGATGGACGAGTATGAACAATGGAGCTCTGAAAGAAAAAGGTTGCTTAAGTATATATCCGGATAAAAATCTATAAGATAATCATGTCTTACGGCTCGATGCAAATCCTTGTTGTCTTTAGCTTGCTCACTGCCGCCCACAAGGCGTGCTGGCTCATCCGGTGAGGCTGCTACCGAAGAAGAACCTGTGACCGGAACCAACGGTGGTGGCGGCTGATGGGCCTGATCGTGGGCCACCGTTGACTCGTGCGGCAGGAGCATGGCCGGAGCTCGGAACATATACGAGAAGGGATAGTAGATGAGGTTGAGCAGGGTGGCGGCATAGACGTCGGCATATCGCACCACCTGGCTAGAGAAGAAGGTCTGCCGCGAACCAGAACGGAAGAGTGAGCCCATCATGCCATAGGACATGTCCATCTTGTGCGTCACATCTCGGATGCAGGTACGCAGCTGCGAAATGTCCGGCTTAACCTTGGCACTGGAATCAAGATCTCGATAGAGATCACCCAGTTTGATGTCCAAATTCTGTAGCTCCGCAAAAAGCTGACACTCATCCGTCCACACATGCAATTCCCTAACCAATTCTGGGACAATAAGGAAGGTGCGCCATCCACGGATCTTCTTCGATTTGAGAATATCGCCAAAAATGTGATCACCCACATACAGTACATCCTTGCCCTTGGCATTGATGAACTTGGTGAAGAGTTCACACGATCCTCCGGAATACACCTGACCAGGCTGCAGTGGTCCAATGTGGGTACCGATCTTTAGACCTCCAGTCTTGGTATCCACCTGCCGCAAAACGGTTCCCTCATCGAAGAACAGCGGCTTACGGGCATCCACAACGATCACATCGAAGTAGGTTTTCCAATCGCGATGCGGTTCCTCCGGAGTGGCGCCATGTGGGAAGTCAAACAGATAGGTCATAATCTCATTGGTGTACGTATAGTCGCTGTTGGTCAGCATGAAGAGTTTGGCTCCCGATTCACGGATACGCGACAGAACAGTAGGCAAACGCTCATCCTTCTTGACATAATGAGCCATGTTCTGAGAGGAAAGGGTATTAGAATGTTTGCTATATAATCCTATGATCCTTAAAGACCGATCCTTACCTGCGTAGTGCGTCGTTTCAGATCGCCATCGGAATGCACCCAGTCGACGGCACGACGGACATCCTGGAAAATCGACTTGTAGGTGAAAAGGAAATCGCCAGCTTTGATGCCGCGCTCAACGCTGTCGGGGGAAAAGAAAGTACAGGAGAAAGTAGAGAAAAGGGAAGGTAGAGATACAGGGGGGTAGAGTAGTAGACCAAAAGACAAGGGATACAGAAGGTTCTACTACGTATGTCTAGTATCTAATCTAGGTGGGGAGTTAGTATGGGGCTTTAAAAGGGGGACTAAACCTACCGCACAAATTCGCTGCTGTTGGTAAAGAAATCGACCAGACAGGCTAGTAGATAGGTTTCCGGAAGGTTAAACAGAGTATTCAGGACATAGACACGCGACTCATCCAATTTCAAGAACTTGTTGGGATACAACTCGTACACCTGATGACTGAAACAAAAGCATTGCCATTAAGATTTTCCCATGAAAAACTTAAGAAAAACTTTACTTACTGCTTGATAAACTCAAAGCCATGTACGCAGACCAGTATATTGCCATAGGCATCCACTTTCAGTAGATTTCCATAGAGCGTGTCAAACCACAGGCCACGTACTGGAAAAGTGGGATCGTACTCGAACTGCAGGATCTCCTTGGGATAGCCCATGGAGACCAGGCGCTCCTTGACCAAATTGAAACCAAGTTGCTCGTATTGAGGTGACTTGTATTCTGATTTGTAAGAAATTAAATTAGTTATAGGTTGGTTTTTTTAGGATTTATTAGTTACTTACCAGCCAAGGTATAGTCCATGTCGAAGCCATAGTACTTAATGTTCTCCAAATGCAACGATCTGTTCACAAATACTCTGCAAAAATCAAAAAGAAATAAGGTTTATAGTATGATTTTTAATAAGAATGAGTTATATTATAAATATTTTTATTACAAAGTAGATTTAGCTTTAGGAAACTTAAATCTACTGAGAAGGCCTTGGCACCCAGAGGGCCTTCGGCTGTAATGGTTTATAATTATATTGCATACTATCAGGCGTTGTCAGAAAATTCTGCACTGTACGAGTAGGTTCTATACTTTAAAACGTAGGGCTCTTAACCCCACAAAGCTTACAGATTTTCCCATGTTTCCTTAAGTATTTATCATAAGAAAACTATAAAGATAATACGTCTCCTTACGATCTTAGGCGTCTTAATAATAGTTACTATAATTTATATACAAATCAGAAAACATTCCTTAAATCATTATAAATCTTTCAAAAATCCATAAAATATATCCAACAATTTCTCACTTTTCATTTTGAAAAGACAAACATAAACCCCTTACATCAAGAATTTCAAGAATTTTCTATATATATATACATATAAATATTTCATTAAATCAAAACAGATCATTAACTTTTATTACACATTCCCGTTTTGCGTTTTCCATTTCCCATTCATGCATCAACTTTATGATTTACTACAATATTCTAGAATATTGACATGACGTCTTATTGATTTAGCTGATCATTCGATTCGATCTATTATAATCTATATATAAAATACAAGCCAAGGGGTTATCAATTCTAAAGTAGCTTCGAAATCGCATCGCCTGGCAATGGCGTGAAAAACGAACTGCGGCTTGCCATTCGAGTGAAAAGTGGAAATTGCGGCATGAAAATGGCGTGAAAAGCGTTTGACATTCAATTTTCAACTTTGTCGTTGGTCTTTGATGATGGCTGGTGTACCCACCACCACATCCCCGCAAGCATTTTCTAGCATTTTTCCCTCCAACAGCCGGAGGCGGTGCTTGCTCTCAATTCGACAACGCGGCGGCTTCGACTGCAACAACGGCAACGCCGTTGACTGCGGTCAGCAATTAGTGTAGAAAAGTTGTTGTGGGCGGGCGGGCAGCCCTTGCTGCCACGCCCTATTTGGTTTTCCACAGACTTTGTATGTGTGTGCCACGCCTTCTTTTTTTTTTGTGGGAAAACTCATTAGCGGGATGAGCGTGGACAAAATGTTTTGAGATGCCCTTATTTTTTGGGGGGGCGGCAAAGGGTTAGTTAATGTTTTCGATTTATCTTGGCTTTATGCTTTTATTTTCCTTTTTGCCATATTTTAAATATATTTTTAATATCTGCCAAATCAATAATTCGATTAATCATGGTTGGGGGATTATAATAGCTCCTCCCCAAAAACCCATAAAAAAGAGCATTTCTGTTTCGGATTTTTTGTTGAGTTTTTCTTTTTTGAATTTTTTGATATTTTAGGAGGGTGTTTTCGGGGGGGACAGTTTTTTATATGCCCCAGGGTGTCCATGCTGTGCGTTTATTTATTCTGCTGTCCCTTTTGGCAATCCTGGTCTTTGGTCCACTTGAACATTTGCCAAATAAGCGAAAAAGTTGCATCCTCTTCGAACGATGCTCCTTTGCCATACTCCTCCCTCTTCTTGCAGCTCCTACTGCTCCTCCCTACATCTGACCAAATCCTCCTTTCCCATTTACTTTTTTTTTTAGCCAACATTGTTTTTGGTTCATCTTAGCCATGGCTGGCTGTTGTTGTTGTTGTTATTATTGTTGTTGCCATGACCCTTTCGTGTTGCTTTTGTCAACCCAAATTCGAACAGAATGCATAAATCTGAGACAAAACACACGCCACAAAGGGGCACACAGCAACACACACAGTTTTCCGCTGCAATAATTAATTTTTACCCATTTTCCGGGGAAAGCGCGCTGCTTTGCCAATTTTACCAAGAATGTTGCTGACTTTTAATCGATTTTGGGGTTCGAGAGAGATTAAGAGTTAGTTTTGGTAAGGAAATTGATTTTTTAGAAAAGTTTAAGGGGGGTTAAAGTCTAAGCTTGTCTTTCAAAGCAAACTTTAAGAAGGCTTATTTTTGGTTTTTTGATTTTAAAGACCTTATAAAAGTCTTTTTAATATATTAATATAATATTTTAACCTTCTTTAACTCTAAACATAAACAATTTAAAAACATTAAACAGCTTTTAAGCTTTACCCCATAAACATCCCCCACCAAAGAGCTAGGTCAAAAGGTTTCCTGAGATTGTTTCCTGTTTTCAAGCAACCAAAATGATGCACTTTTTTTTTTGATATATATTTCCGCCCAAAAACCAACAAGGTGACTAAACGGATTAATTAGAGATCGTTGTGGGTATAAATAGCCTAATAAATGCATAAATGAAAATTGGCTAATATGCTGCTTGTATGGGTTAATTGTCACTGCCAGCGCCGCGCGGATTGCGCGTCAATTAAATGCGAACCTAAAAATAAGCATCAAGTCCCTGGGAAATAGTTAGATTTCTTGCCCAGATTATTGATTGCGATGACAGAGATATATGTCTTTCTCTATATAAACTACTCTATATATATATATATTTAAGTAGCAATCTAGATGTCAGCCGCCACTGCGTATGAGCAATGTTTATGTGTGAAAAGTCACAAGTTTTCGCCATGTTTTCATGGGCATAAAGAAGGGCGTGTGTTTGCCTTTCATTTGCATTGATAACACACAAATTGTTTTTGGCTCTTTTCGTAAGATTTTGAAAGCCCTTAATTTCATTGGCTGAATGAATGCCCAAAGTGCCCAAAGTGCGTCAACGAACTGATTGGCCGTGTTTTTGTATTTTTTGTTTACAACGCGCGATCAACATTTTCCAACCACATAAAGGTCATCGCTGCGTATTAGCATCTCTTTATATTTGTTTGCTTGTCTTTATATACAGAGATATATATATACATAAATATATATATATATTCTGTGTTTTTATTCTGTTTTTTTTTAGCTGATTATATTTTTTCATAATCGGTACATTGACACTGCCTGAATCAGAGCAATCAATTTGTTTTTCATTCTTTTAAATGCTTTTTTTCTATGCTGGCAAAGTGTGAAAGGTTCTTGATTCGAGGGAGGTAAAGTTGTTTATAAAAATATAATAATATTTGCTGTTCTTTTTCGGGTTTTTTAAGTCTCTTCTTTATGAATGAAGTTAGGCTTATGATTGTAAAAGAAATTTGTGATATATAAATGCAGGTGCAGACCGAAGGAGCTGAGCTTCTAGTCACTAGAATTTAGTGGCTGTAATACCTTTTATATTAGTTGCTAAGCTTGAAGTTCTTGCTTTATGGGTGAGAAGTCTTTTTATAATCATAAATGGGTAACATTATAAATGAACATTCCTATCTATAATAGTAAAACTACAAATCATAACCCATAATTTACACTGTAAATTTAATCTATAAAAGATTCAAACTGCCTCTTAAGAACATTCTATGAAGATCAGCCCAGAATTAGATACATTTTAGTTAAGTTAAAGACCAAAAATGAACTCTAAGCTTGGAATTCTTCTCAAAATCTCTCAATAATCTCTCTTCCTGTACAAAAATAAGCAATATTACTTATTTATCAACAAAATATCAATGATTTCTTTAAGTTAATAAGTTAACAAGTTAACTTTTCCCATTTTAATGGCTCCAAAAGTCAGCGAAAGACTTACGCATGATCTGGCTGTTGCATTGGCCACCACCACAAGGCCGCTGTTGCTGCAGTTGCTCCGTCTTCTGGCGGGATCTTAGTGTTCGTGACAGCTGTCCGAGACATGACAGTGCCACAGCCACTGTCACAGCTACTGCAACTGCCACTAACAGTCGGGGAATCCCCCATTAGCTTAGAGCAGCCCGAGGTGGCATTCAAAGTTCTTGAACAGTTGCCGTTGAGTGGCCAGTTGTTGTTGTTGTTATAGTTCTTGTTGTTGTTGTTGTTGTTGTTGTTGTTGTTATTATTACTATTATTATGCATTGTTAACTTGTTTACGTTTCCTGTGACTGTGAAACGAAAATGGGCGAAGTGTTAAGAGAGTTTTGTTGCTGGAAATTGCTTGGCTCAAGTGCGAATTTCCTTTTACTTTTCCTCACTTTTTCCCTCTAGATTTTCCTCTCTCTTTCTGTATTTCTGTTTTGGTTGTCGAAAATGGGAATTTATGGGCGAATGCTTATCGTTTTCCCAACCTCTCCCTCCTCTCCCTTTCCGAAAAATGTAGGAAAAGATTGTCCCTGCCAGTTAGTCTGCTGCCCGTCAAGGATTGTCAAGTGGAGTTGTCCCTGTGTCCATGTCCTTGCTGAATCCAACAGCAACAGAAGGTTTATTGTGCCATTGCTACTGCCACTGCCATTGCCATAGCTGTTGATTAGATTCAGCTGATGCATCCCAAGAAGCACATAATGGCCATAACTCTATCCCGCCCCACCCCATCTCAATTGGCCAGGGCCAAATTGCATTGCATTCGCTTGTAAAATCAGAATTCATATCATGCCAATGCAAGTTTATCAATTTGGTTGTCATACCACTTCTCGTACTTCTCGCCTTAGCTCTTCGTCTCTCTTCTCTTTTTCGGACACGTGGTAGCCACTACTGGCCAACGTTGCGTATGCGTCATGGTATATAATCCCCATAGTAAAAGCTGTTGCCATTCTATTTTAGAACATCATCAACGTAAAAACAACCCGCCCACCCACCATCATCATCATCATTACCGTTCTACTAACTGAGCCAATGCAATTGAGACATTTCATCTCCAGCTGCTGACGTACTGCAGCTGCCACGTGCCATTGCCACACTGCCACTGCCCTTTCGGAATGTTGTATATACATATCATATATATACAACCTGAGTCACCCCTTTTGATAGATTATAACTGGGATTAGTTAAGGTAATAGAGGGAAAAGGTTAACCAAAAGGGTCAGCAGAGTGTTTAGTTAACAAACCAGCAGGAAAATCTAACTTAATAATGATCAAATTTTTGTTGAAAATTTCCGAAAATCCTAGATTAGACAACCAACGACTACTTTTCTCTTAATCAACTAGAAAGTTTGCAAATACATTCCTAAATCTCAAGTATCTTGATTTACTTGTTATAATCAAAAGAAGAGGAAGTCTTCCTTTACAGGTTTAAACTCACTTTAATTGCCTGTTGTATGGCCAAACCTTGGGGCTATTAATCAGCCTTAATCAAGCCTTGATTGCTGCGGCTAAGCTTTTATCTCTCCCTTCCCCGCCGCCTTCAGCTATTCAATTGATAACTCTCAGAGCTGTTTAAATTCCATTAATAAACGTATCGGCAATTTCCACTACAAGGCAAGGTAAATCCCCTTCCTTAACTTAACTTAACTACTTCCCCCGCCGCCGCCACCCTTTTGGCTATCCAAAAACACACACAATTCAAGCCACAAACAAGGTCGTGTCAGAATCTTGTGAGAGTCCTTTTGGTGTTTCGCTTCCAATTAAAATCAAAATGGCAAACAAAAACAATCGAGGGTTGAGGCAGAAGGAAGGTTCCTGGATGCTGGCGGAGAAGGTACCGAAAGGAACGACCAACGAACAGCGGTCACCTATGTGTGGTCCAGGGCGGCGCAATTGGGGCGATAATTGACTTAATAAGCATAACCACAAAACCAAATAGCACAGCCCAGCACGCACAGGCACATACATACATATGCACAAATATACACTTATGTGGATATAAGAGAGGCAGCAGATGTGTTTTGGCTACACTGGTCAGCAGGAAAGGCAGGGATTATGGTTGAGGTTGGGATTAAGATTGGGAGCTGTTCTGTGGGCTGCTCGACAGTTTGGGTAGGGAAATATTGTAGATATTTAGCTATAAAAAGTTAGAATTTCTTAAATTTATATTTAAGTTTATGAAACAACAAGCTGTGTGTTTAAAAAGTAACAAAAAATGGAATAAAAACCATTAAGAAAAGAGAGTCTTAAGGGGACCATTTCGGTTGCTCTTCGTAAATGTGGATCTTTAGCCAAGTTTCAAATCACTATTAATCCTTAATCTGCCTGAAAAACCGTTAAATGTTTCTCTTATCCCCTCCTCTTCTTAAGTTTTTGCATTCACCTAAGTTGCAAACCAATGTTTACAATGTTAATCCTTAATCTGCCTGAAAAACCTTTAAATGTTCTCCTCCTCCTCTTAAGTTTTGGCGTTTAGCTAAGTTTCAAACCAGTGCTTACAATTTTAATCCTTAATCTGCCTTAAAAACCTTTAAATGTCCCTCTTCTCCTCCTCCTCATTTTAAGTTCTGACATTTAGCTAAGTTTCAAACTAATTTTTACAATGTTAATCCTTAATCTGCCTCAAAAACCTTTAAATGTCAAAAAATGTCCACAAGAAATGCTTAAATTGCTAACCAAAAAACCACAAATTTAGCCTTTTCTAAGTAGTATAATCTTCATTAACCCCAAAATTCTTCCTCCCCCCAACATTTTGCTGACCAGTGTTAGCTGTTCATGGCACTGCGACAAAGCAATTCGCAGTTCACTTCCGACACGAGTTTACTTCTAATTAAGACCTTAATTGCCAGCCACACACACGCAGGTTAAAGAAAAAGCGAATAGAAAGAAAGCAAGAAAGCACTTGGGAGGAGACCAGCACCAGCACCAGCACTCCAACCAGGAGATCTTAACAACCAACACACACACAAACACTCTAATCGAATCCTGATGGCAAAACTTAAAGCGGAGAAAATCGCCCGGACTGCGCTCGAGGCGAACACAAACTGAGGCCCCCGAAAAAAAAGCGTAATCCAAATTCAAATAAAGCGCCGTACTCGAGTTTTACGAGGGTCTCGTAGAATGGGCGAGAGCTATGGAGAACCATGGCCATGCGATGGGGTAGCTCAGCATACCCAGACCAGGGACAGTGGCAGTCCAGACCAGACCAGACCAGACCCATCATAGCCATGCGTGGCACACCAATTTTTATGTTCTCTCCTGTCGGCGGTGCTTCTTTTGGTGGCGACTCTACTATATAGTAAAACACTTTCAATTTCATTGTCAGGGGGGCGGGCGCGAGAGCTTCATCATCGCGTGCGACCTTGACAGACTGCCGAAGGGTTGCCATCGTCGGGGTGGTTTGATAGATAGCTGAATGGATGCCTTCCTGCCTGACGGCCTGCCTGCCTGCGCCCCCCAAATTGATTGAGGGCAGCTTAGCATGTGAATTCTACACGATGGACTTAATTAGCCAGCAGCAAGGGCTGGACTACGATGCTGCGGCGGCATCCAATTTGATCTAAACGAACTTAATCAAATTGCATTGTGTGCTGAGGTTAATCCAATTTCAGAGTGGCCAGTCACTTCCCCCATCAAGAAGCCCTCCTCTCCTTTTAACTAGATGAAAGCGGAGCCGCCGACAGCCTTTGGGATTCTTAATATTTATTTAGATACGTTTCGAGGTGACACTTCTTATTCAGTTTACAAGTTCCTTTGCCTTGTTTCTTCTAAAATTTTACATCATCTTTTTTATCAGACCATCTCAGAGTGCCATCAGACCATCTCGCAGACCACTGCCATTGAAGCAAAGGCCTGGAGGGGATTACTCTTCTGGTGGGATTCGTTGATGATGTGGTCTACCTTCTTGAAACGTTGCAGCAAACAGCACCCATCTTAGGCGCTTGGTGGGCGTCGCCATAAACTACGATTTGCCAACACTCTGCGCTTGATATGGATACGAATTTGGCGACGTAGCCCTGGGACGGAAGGTATGCTGACCCTTGGAGTTCCGGATAAGATAGGAAGCTCCCGGATGAGATCCCTGGTGAGTTCCCTGGCAAGATTCTTGACAAGATCTTTGACTAGAGTATTGGTGAGATTCCTGGCAAGATCTCTAGAAAGATTCTTGACGAAATTCTTTACCATATTTCGGTCGAGCCCCATGACCCGACCCCTAATAAGATTCTTGATAAGCTTCTTGAACAGATTCTGAAGGACATCCTTGAGGAGCTCCTTAATGAGATTATCGACAACATTCTTGACGAGATTCTTGACGGTTCGCTTAACAATATGATTCCTGTAAAGATTTTATTCAGCCGGCTTTGCATTGAACTCTTAACCTTATACTTATACATTGCGTTTTTCTTTTTTTTTTTTTTTTCTTTCAGTTTTTTCCTTGTCGATGCTTTCAGCTTGGATTTTCGTCGAGAAGTGTCAAACGGAAGTGAAAGTGTGACCAAGTTAACTTAAAGGATTGCCTAAGGATTAAGGGTTACCACAAGAGGAGGCTGCTACGGGGGGACTACTACTTTTTGGAGTAAACCATAGAAACTATGTTGCCAGATTTGCATAAAGTTAACCAAAATTAATGTGACCAACGGCTAGTTAGATATCGTAAATGAGTTAAGGTATATATAATGATACTGAAGCGAAGTTTGGATTCAATTTTATGAAAAGGAATCTATTTTTTAAGGATTTCTTAACAACTTTGTATCAACTTTTGCCAAAAACCTTGAATTAATGTCTTTAAAAAGCATTTTCAGAACTTTTCCCCCAAAGTCAATCCACTTGAGAGTGACCAGTTAACAAAGTAGGCTGTAATTCGCATGGAATAGTTCTAGAAAAGAACATTTTCAGCAAAGATTATCAGTCAAGACAAGCCAAGAAAGTCTGACCAGCTTACAAAGTACAACAATGTGACCATCGTACACAAACTAAAGTAATTCGCATGGAATTATGCTTAAAACCTTAATTTAAAGTCCTAAAAAAGCATTTAAAGAACATTTTTCGCAAAGATTGCCAGTCAAGTCAAGCCAAACCAGAGTGACCAGAACAAAACGTACACCAATGTGACCATCGTACAGAAACTAAAGCTGTAACTCGCATGGAATTATGCTTAAAACCTTAATTTAAAGTCCTAAAAAAGCATTTTAAAAACATTTTTCCCCAAAGTCAAGCCCAGGCTTACAAATTACAACAATGTGACCATCGTACGGAAACTAAAACTATGAATCGCATTTAATAATTCCAGTAACCTCAAATTAAAGTCCTAAGAAAACATTTAAAGAACATTTTCCCCAAAAGATTATCAGCCAAGTTAAGCCCAATAAGAGTGACCAGCTTACAAATTACAACAATGTGACCTTCGCTAAGAAACTAAAGCTGTAAGCTGACATTTTGAAGAGACGCCTCGCAAAACCAGAAACCACAATCACCGTTCAGGCACGCGTTTCGAACATTGTTGACTGACTACCAACCAACCAAGTTCCCTGTCGATTGTTGGAAAACTATTTCCACCAGAAGATGGAAAACTCCCAACTCCCTAACTTCCTTTCTTCCAACTACCAACTCCCAACTCCTACTACTGACACACGTGCCGCACGCTTTGTGCCACCGCTTAGTCAAAGGTGGCATACAGAATGTTATTTGCATTTTAATGATGACGGCAATGCCAAGGCATCGACAAACTCAAGGCCAACAACGAATGAGGGCCACGGGACACGCCCACTAATCATCAGCTGCTGCCTGTTAAGGCTCTTAAAAGTCATAAACAAAAGTCCGCGACATAATCGAGAATGATATGCCAAATTAAATTCTACATTGACCACAAAATGCGTCCCCATTACGAGCTGTACTAGATTTGTATTTTTTGTTTTTGTTTTTGCTTTTTGAGGATAAAATTTAGCTGTAATTCACATTCGAATTTTCATTCGCAGATACAAATGCAAATGCAAATATTATTTGAGAGGATTTTCCAATTTGCAAACGTGACATTTGCCGCAAATTTTGTTTATTTTCTGGCATATCCCATTAATCAAATAATTTAGCTTTTGCGTTCCAATCAAAACATAATCAGCTTTGGTGGGTGGCAAAAGTCCGCCGCCTGACCCTGCCCAACACGACCTTGGCATTGGTTTTGGGGTTTGCTTTTGGCAGTTTGCTTTCTCTATAAGCTGAGTAAAGTTTCTTTGCTAAAATTTAGTTAATAATTAAATTTAATATAAAGTACAGAACTTTAGTTTACAATTCTACGCTGTTTTAGTTCTTTGTTTATGTAAATATTTTTATATATATATCTATATCTATATATATATTGAATGTTTTCTATTTGTTTATCTTTACTTTGTTGCTGCATTCCTTGATTTTTCTTTATTCTTTGTGTGCTGAGAATTGTTTTGTTGTTTTATTTATTATTAATTTTTCAACTTTTATTTAGATTTTGTGAAGACTTAACTTAGATTCTGAAAGTCTTAATATTTCGATTTAATTTGGCAAGTTTTTATAGGTTGGCCCACGAAAGATTTGCATTTTAAGAACGCTTTTAAAATATCAATATTTCCCATTTTACTTTGAGCCTAAACTTAACCATTTCGTAAACCGCAAACCTTCTATTAAAAATCTAACACATTGACAAGGACTTTCGAAATGTCAAAGTCAAAGTTATCGATAGTTTAAAAAGCAATCTCTACAAGGGCCACCCTGTAGATTGATTAATATTTAAGATTAAGATTGATTAAAATAAAAATTAAGCGTGAAAATTCTCACATTTCTTGCTCTTAATTTTTCCTTAATAAACATAGATTTTTAAAAAGAATTTTAGCAAGCCAGAATTACATAAATAACACTCATAATTTAAAGCTTAAAAATACATTAAAATATTACAAAAAAAAAAAAAGTGCAAAAGAAAAACAAATTTTCCTTACAAACCAACTCCCAGCCCTTTACCCCCCATCCCATCAAGTTCAAAAGTCCGGAAAATGTGCATAAATTAGCCATTGAAATCGCCCGTTCGCCCGCATATAATAATAACAATAATAGGTTTGGCCGAAAAAGTTGCCACAATTAAATTGGAAAAGCCAGTAGCATCTGTGTGTTAGTGTGTGAGTGTTTGTGTGTGTGTGTGTGAGGAGGGGAAAAAAAAGAAAGCGCAGCTCGTTTTAAAATAAATTTAGCATGTGAATTTCAATGAAATGCAAATTGCATTAAAGTTTTTCCTGCTGTGGCTGCTGCAGTTGGTCTTCTGCCATTTCCATGGTTACAGTAAAGCACCCACCATCAGCTGCCACGCCTCCATTTTGCCATCACCCTTCGCGCTCACCCTCTCTCTCTTTCTCTGTCTTTACAGCGCGCCTGTCGTGAATGTTCGCGGCGTTTCCGTTTCCGGCTACGCAATAAAAGTTGCCAGCTACGTGACCCCCGCCGAGGCTAAAGGAAGAAGAGCATCAGAAGCAGGAGGAGCAGTAGTACCTGGAGGAGGAGAAGCTGTAGGAGCAGGAGGAGTAGCGGGAGGAGGTCATGTCTGATTTAAGACAATCATGGGAAGATGGCAAAAGGTAAAGTTGGCCACGACAGGTACAAAGAACGAGGGCAGAGGGACGTGAAAAGCGGACGGGCGGGCACATTGTTTGCATTCGAAAGAGCCAAAGGCAAGGCACTGACACTGACTCGGGAGGGTGGGGTGTTAAGAGGGTTAAGGGTTAACAGCAGAGGAGCAGAGCGGGCCAGAGGTCACGTAGCTGCAGCTGAATTAAACTCCCCTCCCCCCCCTCAGCAGCTAGCATTGCTGCCCTGAGTAACATAAATATGCCAATTTAGGACCAACAACGATGATTGAAGAGAAGAATCAAGGAGAATCAAGCAGTTAAAAAACAAGGAAAATAGGAAATAGAAAATAGTCAAGCTAGGCCATAGCTAAGCCTAATAATCTGCTTTGATTGCTGGGGGAGATTAGCCTGCGCCTGCCTGGCTGGCTGGCGGCGATTCATTAAGTCAACTGCCGCGTTGACAGCCAGAAATTTACATTAATTGACATACAAGCGAAAGAAATCAAATGAACTGAAATTAAATGATCGAACGATGGGGTGTAGGCAGGCCGAGGCAAGGCAGAAAAGGGTTGAGGCAGGCAGTGGCAGTGGCAGCAATTAGGCAGCCTGCCAATTAAAATAGGGAAATAGGTGAAGGGGGTTAAGCGGCAGGCGGCAGACGGTAGGCGGTAGGTGGGCAACGACGACATTTAAAAGTGTGTTTATATGGTGGCATGGTCAAGGGCATGTTCATAACTGTAAACAGCAGTTGGGCCAGTTGTCAAATGGCCCCTTGTAGTCTCTTATAAACATCACCCATACCCCTATTGTTACCCTCCTCCCCCCACTTTTGAGATAAGAAAGACAAACGTTTGTGATTTAAAAGCTCGAAAAAACCAAACAATTATAGCCAAAGGTTTGCCAACTTATTTGTGCACTATATGGGCATGCTAATAAAAATTCGCCAAGTTATATACTATATACTATATATATATATATATCACTACTGATCCCAATGAACGAGTGAGTCAGCATGAGAGGAAGATAAGAGGTTTAGTGATTCAATCAAGATTACAAGCAGAGATATCGCCATAGCATGTTTAGCAGTTTAGTTTTGGGCAGACTTTGGATTCTACCTAAAACATATTTTGTAGATTTCATAAGTTAGTTAAAGGATTATGTAAGCCTACAAACTAAACTGCCTTAAGCTTGAGGTTTAAGGGTTTTAAAAGGCAAAGTAAAGATCTGGCTAAGATCTTCGTTCTTTCTAGAACTTTTTTTGGCTTTGAATTTGAATTTTCTGATTTCTGATTTTCTTCTAGATATTTATAGATCCATTAAGTTCTTATTTTCACAGTTTTATAGATGATCTATAATCAAGAACTATTGTTGGGAAGTCAGTATTTAAGAAACTTTCTTCCTTAAGTCAAGCGACTTAGATGCATTTGAGTAAATGAGGTTTGAGGTTTCTAGATTTAAATCAACTTCTGGAAAGATTCATTCCAGTAATTAAAATCTAACCCATTTGCCTGGCCCTTCTAGGCTTTTTTCTCCCTTGGATTTGCACTTAAGAGCCAACATAATTAGATTAAATCATGTTTAAGTTTAAGCTTAAGCTTCTAATGTTATTTTTGTAAGCTAATTATAGTGATTTTTAGAACAATTTCTTCATTTTAGAATCGAATAACTTAAACCAGAAAGTTGCAAAACTTAAACCAGAAAGTTGCAAGTGAGAAAGCTAAACAAAAAGTGAAGTCTAGTAATACGATCGTTAGCCCACACAGCTGGTTTAAGACTATTTATATATATCCCACATATATTTATGCCATATATATCTATCCCATATGTATATCAATAACCAATCTCCATTAAGTTTATATAGAAAATCTGATATAATTGCAATGTTTGCCTTCGTAATATTCTGGAAATGCTATAAACTGTATGTAAGACAGTCTGAATAATCTAGAAAATACGATGATTCATAAACGAAGTCTCCGTCTCCAGCATATCGGCTTTATATTTTCTAAATGCAACTACAATAACAATATCATATTCCATACGGATTACTACCTATATAGCTATATAGCCTATATCTATAGATGGTTCAATAAACAATTTGATCAATCTAGAAAGTGCAGGCTTATATTTTTTTAGGGTTTTTAAGACGGTTTTAATGCAATATTAACTTGATCTTAACTTAATCTTGCTCTGAGGAGTAACTCTATCTATGTAAAGCTTAACCTTAATACAATATTAGAAACTCCTTTATAGATCTAGAAAGAACGATCTGCTTTGGCTTTAAAATGATTCTTCTAAAAGAGAAGAAATACTTCTAACAAATCTTCTTAACTTTCCATGAAGTATTAACATTTTTCCACATATAAAACCTATTAGAGAGATCTTAAAAGATAAAGTTAAGTTCTTAAAAGAAGATCACATTTTCCATAGATTCCACAGCTTTGGAAAAGATCTTTCCATAGATCTTGAAAACATCTTTACCCATATATAATAATTCTAATGGTACTAATCTAATGGTACCCATCTAAAGTTTACCCCTCACCTGTGACCCAGTTCGCGCTTGTGTCCATGGTAACCAGCTGGTCCATCTCCACCCACTGCCAGACCATTGAGCACCGATTGATCCATGTCCGTTTCCCCAATAGTCTGAGTACGTTCACGTTCCCGTTCCCGCTTAGCGGCAATGATCGTGGTAGTGCTAAGACCAGCGGGAATGGAAGTGGAACTGGAAGTAGAGCTCAGACTGGAGCTGGTGTTGGTTGTGGAATGTTTCTGCAGCGGATTCTGCTGCTGTTTCGGCTTTGGTTGTGGCATCTTCGAGCTGCCGCGGATGACAAGGCCACAAATGCTGCGCCGCGTCGCTGCTGCTGCTGCTGCTGCTGCTACTTCGGCGGCTGCTTCTGCTGATAAAGCTCTTTCGCTCAGTGGGAGTGGAAAGTGGGTGGTAGGGGAAAGGGGTTACCGCGATATATATCTTATCAGCTGTTTTTTTTTTTGTTTTTTTTTGGCGGACGCTAGCGACTACGACGACGACGACGTCACGGAGATCTGAAGTTGGAATGGATCTGAATGATCGTGCGTGGCGTATCAACGGTACACACTTGCTTGTCGATCTCGGTTTCTTTTTTTGTTTTTTTTTTTTATAATGTTAGAAAACTTGGCAAAACAAAAAAAAATGATTTAAAAAAGCGTTTGCGATTTTTGTGATTAATAAGATTACACGATTCCGATACGAATTTTTGGTGTTTTTGGGGATTTACGGAATAAAAACGTATTTCCAACGATTTCGGTCAACGTTCAAATTTCAACTGAAAGTGCAATGTGGAAATGGAGGAAGGAAGAGCAGAGGCAGGCAGCAGAGCAGTTGGCCAAAGCAACAACAAAAAAAAGAGAGCAACAGAGCGTTGAAGAGAGAGTAGAGCCCCCCAACATTCTCCGTTTTCAATACTAGTGACAGCGCGTCGGCGTCGAAAGCTCTGTGTTCTCTCTGTCTCTCTCTCTTTCTGGGTTTCTTACTCTCTTTTGCTTGTTCTGCTCTCTTCCCCCCTCCTTGTTGTTGCTGCTTTAGATGGTGTCAACGTAGACCATTCAGTTTGTTGTTTTGATGCCTTTTATGCAATAAATACAAAATGTTTTCTACTTTGTTTTGCTACCTATTAGATCACTCGTTAAGGGAATGATCGTTTAGTGATCACTTACACTGAGAAAAATCAATGGTTCGTGGAATTTCTATAATTCCATAACTTTTTTATAAGTGAAAAATTTTAAGGCCTCATAAAATATCATTTTTGTTCATATATGATCAATATGTATTTTATGTTTTTCTATTGATACCATGTATGAAAATCACATTTAAGAGTTTTTATATAGAATTATATGACACTATCAAGTTTTTACTCTATATAAATACCCTATAAATAAGGACATATCTCTCAAATATTCAAATGTTATCTTAAATCTCAAAACTGATCATTCACAACTTCCTTCTACGAAACGGGGTATCAAAAGTTCTTCACTCCCCTCCCTAACATTCTGCCAAACAGACCACTCGCTCTCTAGTTTATCTTCACGCCCTGCTTGCTTACTCGAAAATAGCTCCAAATGGCCAAACACACAACGCTTACTATGACTACACCCACTTGTGGGCATGGAAATTTTAGTGTGTCAGTCATGGAAATGCTTGGAAAGCGGCAAAAGAAATGAAATTATGCACACAAAAGTTAAAAACACACAGACAGACAGCGGAGGTTGAGGAAATAGCAGTGGATTAGGCGAAATATTTTCTTATCTTTCTTAGCGTAGAAAGAAAGTGGCTTACAGGGAGAGAAAATTTCTATGTAGTTGTAAGATTAAATAGGAATCTTAAATCACAGAAGAAAGGCTTTCTTAACTTAAAAATATTATCAAATGTTTTAAAAATTTAAAAAAAAAGAATTTAATTTTTAATTTAAATTCACTTAAAAGTACATTTCTGTCCTCAACTGTAACCAAATAGTTTTGTGGGCACACTCTTACTATTTATGGCCATACAGCCCACGCCCCCAGCAGACAACAAGTTCCATTGACTGGCAGGCACTGAGAGAAATGACTAGAAAAACTAGATTAAAAAGAGGTTTCCCAAAAAAAAGTTCCCCTTAATATATCCCTTAAATAGGATTTTTTCTTCCACAAAATAATTGAATTATATTTTTCCATCTAACCTTGTCTTATCTCCTCTTTTTTTCAGTGCTTAACTAGCCCAGTGCGTGGGGGGTTCGCGACTTGGCTAAATGGAATTTTTTTGTTATTTGTTTGTTTGACTTTTTGAAAGAGATTCGACTAGGCGATACAGATATAGATAGACGATCGAATTGCTCTCGGCCATTGACAGGCCATAAATCCATTCGATTTGGTTTTTTTTTTTTACTTTTTTTTTTGTTTATATGCAAATCCCTGTGACACCTCTGAAATGGCAGCAGCAGCAGCAGCCTACAAAAGCCTATCAGATATAGAGATATATATATATATGGATGTATGTTATGTGCGCATTAATTATGGGCCCAATTATAATTTTGATGGGTGCGGTGTGTTCATCGTGTGTTCATGAATATTTCATCAGCCATTTGCATATTCATTGCCATATACCATATACCATATACCATATAGCATATTCCATATTCCAAATAACAAACATATTTCATTTCTCTCTGCGAGTTTTTGGTTGCTTCTTTTTGGGGATCGATCGATCAGTCCTCCAGATGGGTCTATATAAATAGACCTTTCTTTGGCTCTGCCCACTCACTTAGCACCTTTTTTTTTTATTTTGGGTTGTTTGGTTAATATATACTATATATATTATATATATATGTAGTTAATATTCTTGAAAATCGTAGCTTGCACTTTGCTTCGTGTCAATGTCAACAGACAGGCAGGCACATACATACATGCATAGCTGGAGATAAACGCACACTGCAATTGCAGCTGACACTCGAGTGGCTCGAAGTGCCCACTCACTTGCAGCTACACAACGCCTAACAAGCAATTCAGACGGCCCACCCCTCAACCCCCCTCCTTGCTGCTACATCATCAAAAACCCGGCGATAATGGGACAGCGTCACAAAATATTGTAATCAGAAAATAAAGTAAGAAAAAATGGCAAAGGAAAAGTCGAATGGGTGGGAAAATTCAAAGCCAGACGATCTGCATACCATGGAATTTGACAAGCTTACTTGGGATTTCTTTCTAAAAACTTAATTTTAAAAGACTTTAAACTATTTTGGGAGGAATTACTTGGGAAAGTTGAAGGTTTTTAGGTACTTCTTGAGTTTGCAAACCTTAATCTCTGATCTAGTCTAGTCCTTAATGGTCTGATAAATCAAAATTCTAATCCTAAAACTAAAAAATTCTTTGATATTAACACTTTTTATGTGATTTATTATAATTATTACTTAAAGATGGATATATTTTCATAAACTTTTTTCAAGATATTATTTGTTTCTAATAGGTTTTTGAAACTTAGTAAAAGATTTTTAACTTATAAGTTAAAAATATAATCGAAAATATAGATTTTAAAGAGTTCTAAACTCAATTTAAAACTATATTGTTTATTATTAATACAATATATATACAACCTGCTATATAGCTCTCAACTTTATCACTCATACGTGACGTTGCCAAAGCTTATACATAAAAAAAAAACCTTTCCGATAGTTGTAATAATTTATAGCCTAGTACACCCCGAAATTCCTGCATATGTAGACTAATGAGCGTTCGCTATCAAAGTCAGGTTGTCAAGCGAACGTTCCCATTCCATGTGGATTAACTAGCTAGTAGTTGTTTTTAGGCTTGTTCTTGTTTTTGTTGTTGTTGTTGTTGTTTTTTGGCTGCGAGATAAGACGATACGCGGCTGTAGAAAAGCGTTCGTACTTGGCATTGACCGTGGTGGCTCTCTTTTAATGGGGGAAATTTCTCTCTCTTGCAAATTAAGCTTACACTTAGCGAAAAATCAGTAAGGAAATGATTTGGAAAATCAACTTGTTCTTGTTTTCTTAAGCAGAAATACTAAATAGTAATATTTATAGCCGAAATTGGAAGTTTGAGTAAGGAAGTAAAAGGAAAATATGGAAATTTTCCCTTCTTTTGTATAGATTTTGATGGTTTAGAAAGCTGGTTTAGCTTTTCATGGATTTTTTCACATTATTGTATAATATATTTATACATATCTTTGATTTTAATACCCCACCTATAAACCCCTTAAAAAAAACTAACCAAATTATTGACTTATAAACTCACCTGTGAGCCGCATGACGGTAATACTTTTTAGGCAGAGCCGAGGCTGAGCAGGGTCCAGGGGTATTCGGTGCCGAGTCACTCATGTCGCACTGGAAAAAAAAGAGTGTGAAAAATTGGGAAATTAATGAGACTGGCCTTATCTTATCAAACACTTTCACACACTCATACACAGAAACAAACAAAACCCACACAAACACTCATGCAGAGAATTTTAAAGTCCGGAAAATTGAAAATGAGGATGAGGTTTTTGAAATTGAGAACGCAGGCAGGCAGGCAGTGGAGGCAGTGGGGGCAGTGGTAGCAAGGCAAAGCAATCAAAGTGCTTAGGACAAAAAACAATAATATATGTATGGAAACCGAGAGAAAGGGGATATGGCACTAGGAGGGGAGGGTGGCATACAAACCCTGGCCAACCTGCCTCCTTTGACTGACACAATTGGCACAAGTTTAATGAGTTTTGCTGCAACTGATTGATATGCTGCTGTCTTAGCTACCAACCCTGCCTCTCCTTACTTCTTTTTTACACTAAAACTAAAAGGGGTTTTAAGTTGCGAAAAGTTTAAGTTTAGATTAGGGAGCTTAGATTTTATGATTGGATATATATAAATTTTACAAATTTGGGTAACTTTTTGTCGGTTCTTAACTTGAAAGACTTTTTACTGAAGTATCTTTTCTAAAAATGCTAGCTTTAAGGTTCCTTTTTTGGTAACTTTTTGTGAGTTTTTAACCTGAAAAACTTTTGGCTGAAGTATCTTTTCTGGAAATGCTAGCTTTAAGGTTCTCTTTTTGGTTACTTTTTGTGAGCTCTTAACTTGAAAGACTTTTGTCTAAAGTGTCTTAATTATCTTTTTTTAGAAACGCTATCCTTAAGTTTCCCACTTTTGAGACTCCTTTTTATATAGATATCTTATATCTCTTTATAAAATCATATTTTTCAATCTTTTCTTAAGATAAAACTACATTTTGTATACCTTTTAAAGGCTATTAAAGGGCCTTAAGCTACAGGATATGTTCACCTATATCTTCAAAATTCTCTATAAAATCACAGAAACCTACAAACAAACTTTCCATTTTTCCCTTAAAAAACCTCAAACTGTCCTCCTCTTTACCATTTAAGAAACTTTCTCTCAGTGTACTTACTTGGTAGGGCGGCAGGTCGCAATAGTCCCTCTCGAAGGACTTAAGCGGATCCTGCGGCTGAGCATCATCGCTGGGCGTGGCCTGCATTTTGCCTAAACTGGCATAAGAGCAACTTAACTTAAGGTTGCCTGTGCTGCTGCTGCTGCGGCTGTTGCTGTTGCTGTTCCTTTGGCAATTTGGGACACCACCAATATGGATAAGACGTATCCTTGGATGGATGATGATAGGGTTCCTCAAGCCGATGTAGATTTCACTTAGTTTCTGTGACAGCCACCGACGTGTCGTGTTAACAATTGCCACTTGGGCCTTGTGTTGTGCTGGCTGATATCTTAAGGTGGCTGTTGTTTCGGATCTGCTTGTTAATTGGCGGTACTGCAAAGTGTTTGTTAAACGGCGTAAGTTTCTCATTGCCAA